GGGGGGGAGATACCTTCCTATTGCAATATAGAAATGCCAGACATTCGGTGACGAAGGAGACTCCATCGAAGCTATTGAAAGGAAGAATTCTTCGGTCGAATATGAGGTGTTTGGAGTCTGCAGAAGTTACATACTATCGGGGACATGATCTTCGACCATCTACGGGTATTTTTCTGAAAAATGTCGGAAAATCGATGGTGCGAATTCTAGACATCGATGACTTAAGTACACACAGTCGACATGTAGATCAAATACAATTTCAGGAACCAGGTGAGTCAGTTCCAATTTTGATCGTTAATTCTAATGCTTATGAGCATATTCTAGATAATACAGAATCCTTTTCCAATAGAATGTCAGACAGACTGAGGATGAGTTTGAGAAGAAGACGTACGATTGATTACAAACACCTAGACTCCAATTTAAGCTGTGGCGGATTTGGTGTTTGAACGAACTAACGATACTTTGTACTTGTTGAATGCTTGATTTCGAATTCCAAATACAATACATTCGCTTGTGCTCGTGTCTTACTTCTTAATTCAATTGTGATATCTCTGGGCCTCTTAGTTCGTGCTATAATTCAAATAATTCGAATCATTACACATGTGCAGTAAGAAAATATACAAACACTAATCGTATTGTCCGTGTGATACTTTATCGATGTATCACTTCTCATCTAATTATTTTGCGAATCACTCCATTATGATCATAATTATTATTATTTTCTCATTATCGGATTATCGTCACTTTGTCAGCTAACTTAGAATTATTAGTTCTGCTCGTGTCGAAGTTGAACTGTGATATTTACTAGATTATATTACTCACCCATCAAATAATAATTTCATTAGTGATGCACTTCCGTCCTGATATTCGTAACTCACCAAACTTTTATTTATCATTAAATAAGGTCCAGGTTTCCTGCTTCAGTTGAGTTTATTTCATTTTATGTGCAATTCTGCATCATATTATTATTTCTTCATCCACGTAATTGAAGTCATTTTAGCGTTAGCTCAAACATTCCGGTATCGCTCTTTACTTCATTTCTTTCGATGACATTGATTACAATAAGCCAGTTAATAGGACCGATCATGTTTGTTTTATTCAAAATCACATGTTGCAGAGATGGTTATTTAAGAGTAGTCATTCCATTCCAGGCCCAAATTTTTATTAAATGCCAAATTTTTCCTGTGTATTCACCAGTTGCTTGTACATCGATGACCTGCAACCTGCTAAGAAAACCAGCTATCTAGCAAAATCGGCATCTATACGAATCGTCAGCCCGAAAAGTCAGGCAAGCATTTTGGAAGCTGATAATGTTTAAATTCGAGACGACATTGAGTTTTTTCAGTTCTAGAAGTGTGTTATAATTCGCAATCGAAAGGTGCAAAATTCAGTTCAAGTCATTGTCGTATTTAACAGTTTTATCTGTCAGAGATTGTATCTTGTTGGTATTTTCTGCTTATTTTGCCACTACTTTTAATTTACTGGGTTTAAATATCCAATATTTTTGTGGTCATTTAATGGCCACTACACAAGTTGATCACTGTAGCTGAACAATGTGGATAGTGGTAGCTAACTCCAGTAGGACTTGAATGATATGGCTTTCTAGCTTACAGTGAATTCACACCTCATGATTGTTGTTGAACCTGTATTATCCATGCGTTATGACCAAGTGGATTAACTTCCTTTGTGATTTATTAGAACAAATACTATCAGAATGCGAAAGCATATACTAATATTGAAAGTCAACTTTAGGAAAAGTTGAGACCACTGTCCCATACACCTCCCCATGGCATGCAATTATTCGATGTGTGTTGGCTGTCCTTGATCTAGACGAGAACCAGTAAACTGTTTGACACCAAATGATCTATCTGTTAGATGATTTTGCTAGGACATAGTGACATTTGATGGCCTTAGAAGTTTACTGCTATCCACTATCGTTTTTAGGTATCACTCAACCATCTCCCAGTAAGAAGCTACTAGGATTTCTAGAAATTCGGACATCTCAAGAAGTGGAACACGTGTTAAACGCAAGGCAAAGTTACAAAACTTCAGAAAAGACGGAGAGTGAGAACGTTCTTATATTATTGGGAAACCATTTGTTATAATGCGCAGTGTCTAGTAGATTCTTGAAAGTACTTTCCATGCAACATCTAATTGGGCTTTTAAAGCCCGGGCGCACATATACATATGAAATTTGAATCAAAATATCTACCTATAACGTGTATTTGAAACCTAATGATAAGCGAACTATTTTGAATGGTGCGAAATGTGAAATGAGACCGTTTAATCAATGGTAGCACACAAAACAAACTGAACGCTAATAATTCAGAAGGGGTTGGCGAACAATCACGGAAGGCAAATTTCAGCAGAAAAATCGTATAACACTATACTGATAAAATTTTAACTTTGCTGCTGATAAAGCAGAAGACGATAACACAGAGAGCATATGTGTGTGTGCACCACAACATTATACAATGATAATATATTGTTCGTATTACTGTGATAATATAACCAAAAAACACAAAATGCAAACTACACTTTGCATGTCAAGAAGTGAAGAGAATGTTGAGGCTTTTTAAAAATCAGAAGTCAATTAGTTTTTCTCAGTCACCGAAAAAGGATGATAATGCATGTTTTCTCTAGGTTGGTCTGGACGTGTTACTGATATAACTGGGCACTGAGCGCGCTCTTCGAGTTTGAAGTAACCTCATTTATATCTCAACAATAACCGAAGAGACCCACTTTTCCACTATCATACTATAGTACTTGACCATCTCTTAATTTGTATCATATTTTACTGTTAGGTTTATTGAATAGAATGTACAGTAAAAGCGTTGCCACCAGTACTTATACTATGAATACATGAGTAACTGACAAAGATATAAATCCTAATTAAGAGGTTAAGAATATTTCGAAAATCTCGTCTCTAGCGACAGGGTCAAAGAAATTTCAAGATGACATCAGATAAAGAATCAACAAGTAATGTGTACATTATGGGTAACTTAACCAAAGCAAGAAAACTGAATCTCCAGCGAGGTATTCAGGAAAACAATTCTACTTGGGTTGTACTCCTGGTGATGTAGTGAACAGAACAGGGGTGAGGACAATCGAATTTATTTAACACTAAATTAAAGGATTTGTTAATGCAATCTAACAATCATAAAGTAAATGATTAATTTGCAAAATGTCAACCAATTGTCTCAAAATGACTCAGACTTCCTTGTTTTTGCATTTTCGTAAAAATTGCGTCCTGTTTCCATTCTTTACTGTTCGATCCTCTTGCCTCTCTGCTGCCAGACCTCCTGTTCACGACTAACATCCTATAATACTTATGTCAATATAAGTAGCTGGGTTGCTGCTGCTGTTATACTGAGGTACCTACGCAGCACTACAACTCCATATTAAGTGACCTCTGTCTGTGTTCTGGTATGTTTACTCACAGTGTAGAAAAATTACACGAACTGAACCAATAAGAGTCAAGCAGAAGTTCTAATTGAAAGTAATGATACCAGTTTCTACCAAAATATGCGAATTTTCAAACGCAGACTAACTAAAACACGTGACTATGTGAGCCACAACCCGAGCTCATACACCAACAAAACCGCCAACCGTTTCTAGCGCCTTGATATCTGCTGACAGTAAGGAGCGATGGATGAGTGTCGAGAAGAAAAAGTGGCAAAAGTATAGCTCTTCGGACGCTGAAAATGAGAGAAAAAGACGTTAGATAAAACTTCTTGATTTTTTTAATGTCCTGATGTCGGAGAGTAGCTTATCAGAAGATAAGGTAGCTTTTGTTAAAGAACAATGTGACAAGCACTGTAAAATACTGGAAAAGGATATTATTTCAGCCAAACTATTTCACTTGTGTAGGGGCTTAATCACCTCAAAGTCGTTCCTTACACCCAGGACGTATGCACAGCCCTAAGTTAGAGTTCACAGAGTCGTTACACCCACTCCATTCAAAAGAGATATAAATTTTCTGGACGGAGTACAGAGAGCAGCAATCAACTGGGTGACATATCTAGAAAAAAACCAAAGAATGACAGGATTCATGTCTGAGTTTGTTCTCACTGAGCTACCGAAAAGTGGGAGGCGATCTGATGATCGAATATGGCATACTAAGTACGCCAAATCACCTGTAACGCTAGCACATTACTAGAATGTCATCATTACGCTCCTCGAAGCAACAATCGAAAGATTGCAAGTCGAGGAGGGAACATCCGGGTATGCTATTACTTTTATTCACAAATAACTGTCTCCATTTTGAATGCCACTTTCAGCCGGAGTGACCATGGCCTCTTCGAAGGATAGTTTTAGGAGGAGCCTTGACAAACACATACCCACCCATGGATTACCATCTCCCTCTCGGGCCAGCCGTGGCTGATGCATGTCTCGTAATTTTCCACAGTTATCATTGCTGCATTAACAGCAACTGCTTCCTATCTCTTTTATAATCGCCCCCGTGCCTTTCTTATTCTTTTACATCCAGCTTCTTACATACAATCAACTAGGCAAAGTAATTATTTGTTATTTAAATAAATGATCTCTTAGCAATTGAATTGTTACTTTATTGTTTTACATTCCAATTAACCAACCTCCTGTCTGGTAATATCATGGCTGCTGGCATCCAGGATCCCTACTGTCCGTAGTCGAAAGCACCCGCGCAACCATAAGATATACATACCCACAAATAATTAGTGCACTGATTAGAGTTATCGCCATCCAGACCGGACCACTAACTATTGCACACAACTAATACCTGAAACTCAACTGAAAAACAAAGAGGCAAGCACAAAGAAATCAACTGGTTTATGCAAAGCTCGTGACACAGGTACTGGATATATTGCGACTAAGACATGTGTTTGCATGTGCATTGCGAAGTCGAATACCATAAGCAAAAGAAACATATTCAGTATTATTTATCGCCAAAAAATGACATGGATTTACACACATAGCTGAGGTTTATTGCCTTTTCATCCCTTAGTACAACTATGATTTCTGTCTTAGTGGGGGACGTTTGAAAAGTCTAGGTCATTGTTTCGTTAATTATCTCGCCTTTACTTTTTCATTGTTGGAAACATGTCTTATATGCTTTCTCACCTAACTAATGGCTGGCAAGTAGATCAGGCTATACTATCTGAAGAGGACAGAGTTGTCATCATACGCTTCGGTCACGATTGGGATCCGTCGTGTATGGTCATGGATGAAACTCTTTTTAAAATCGCCGAGAGAGTGAAGAACTTCGCAATCACGTACTTAGTTGACATAACTCAAGTTCCAGACTTCAACAAAATGTACGAATTGTACGATCCTTGCACTGTTATGTTCTTTTATCGTAATAAACACATTATGATTGACTTGGGAACAGGTAACAACAATAAAATCAACTGGCCCATAGCGGACGGACAGGAATTTATAGATATTGTTGAAACAGTGTATAGGGGTGCAAGAAAAGGTCGGGGCTTGGTCGTTTCTCCAAAAGACTATTCGACTAAATATCGGTATTGAGTTATGTACTATTTCTTCGTCTTGTTATGTATTTCTCAGTTCTTATCCTGCATTTCTGTGTTAATAAAATGTTTATAAATCTCAACTAAAGTTTGGTTGTTACTCCATTTATTTACAGTGTTGGCAAATAAAAGTCTAGTGTATTATATGTAGTCGGCCTAATATTTATTCGATATGAGAATATCTAAGCCGTCACTTATGCAATACTTACCGGAGAACGCTTATGGCACTAAATTATCATGACAAATATTTTACAAATTTTGGATCTAAATATTCACAAACCCGGGTTTCCATATTTCTGTTACATTTTGCTTTTTAATCTGTACATCACATCACATGTAATGATCTTCCAAGTAACAGGTAGTCTACCGAACCTAATTGTAATGAAATACGTAAACAATAATCACTTCTAGGTTTCGAACAGATGAACAAGCATAGACAGGACTACTCCCTGTGTACATATCTTTTTTGACTGGTTTTAATGTTATTTCCGTATGTTCTATTATTATCAGCTGCATCTAAAAGCTCATATATTTTAGCTTCAACTGGGGTTGCATTGATTCAAACTTTGTAGAATTATAGAGTGGTTATGATTTACACTGTACTGTGAAGTCAGTTCGTATCCAACTAACACTAATGCACTTAGTTTATTTTTGTGTATTTCTGAAAAATGTCTCTTGGTTCAAATAATTAAGTAGGCGAACTGGAATAAAAAATCCCCAACATAGTTGTGCATTTATCACTGTGAACCAAGTACCCAGTCCTAAGTTTGAGGATGTTTACGTCCTGAGTATGAACATTTTCTCAAAGTAGTTGAGAGATTTCTTAGAAAAAGCTAGTCGCCGTTTGATATTAACTACTGTGACACGCCTTTAAAAAGTCCGTCAAGTCTTTTACACATTTTTTTGTGAAAAGCAGTTTCAGTGACTTAAAATGTTAGGTAATATCTTTCAAAAGTGACCACAACGCCACTGATGCTACTTCGGCATGTTGTTGTCAATACAGCTATGAAATTCGCCTGTAGTCAGCTTACTGTCTAGCCAATCGAAGTAGGATTCTGTGGTCGGACTAACCGATACAGCAACGGAAACTAACCCATTTTCTTGATTTCTGAAATTTGTCACTGTAGTTATTGTTACTTACCGAAATTTTAAACCGAATTGCATCGTCGTATTTACAACCATGAAATATATAGCATACTTTAGCATGTTGTCTGTGAAAAATTGAGTGATATACACTTGTCATGTTATTCACAAATACAGATTTAGTTATGCCTCATGATCAGGAGTATAAAGTGAAGTGAATCCTTGTCTTTCAAATGTGTTATAGTTCAACCCAGCTTGTTATATCTAATGACAACATGTAAAATTCGGATGTGGACTAACTAAACGGAAATTAAGTTTCGAGAAGGGGTATGACCAAAACAAAATGTCAAGTATTTTAGGCAGTACAGATGCATTCATTGTCGTTGCCCTTATTTTTTTTAACTCAACCGCCAGTATGAATTGATGTGAAGTCACTAAGACGAGTGCTTTTTTAATGTTACTTAAGATCACAGATGGTTTGCTTTCTGAGATTCGGTCATACTTTCACTGCACCAGTCTATTGTCTCATTTAGTTACCGAGGTATCTGTATGATGTATATACCCATTCACTTCCATCAAAGCTCAGTACGGTTCCGTTTATTGAGTTTTGTTTTATCAGGAGTGAAATTACTTTCTGAGTGCCCCAGTGAATGTAGTTTTCATTGCGTCGTGACACGAGAAATACCTCATTTTGCATATTGATGGGCTTGTCTCGTAGTCATCACAAACAGCAAGGTAATGAGTCATTCAAAGTTTATGTGTTCTTATATGAGTAGCTAAGGCGATCGATACTCTTAACACGTCAACTTCCTGCACCCAAACTAGATAGGTTACTGTGCTAGTTCCAAACCTTCACTCCACGGTTCGTCAGTTGACTATATGAGTATTCTAAAACCCCTTTAAGCTAATACACCATGAAGTGTAAGACCTTGAAGGCTTATATCTACGTATGCTTGTTCTATCAATAATTTTCTCATTTAAAGCGTATATACTGCAGTAGAAATTCTTTCGAACGCATCTATTAGCAACCTTCCTGAAACTGTGCTTGTCAAAATGGTTTGCTCTATTTTCTCTAAAACCGCTGGTTTGTTGGAGGGATGTGTTTAGTTCAAATTTACCCTATGAAGTGCGTAACCAACACATTTACTCGTTCACCAATAATTAGAAGTGTATACTATCAAATACCTAAAAGCGTGATTAAAATATATTCAAGGCTTTTTTTGACAAGTTATCTTCAAGCATAAAAGCACTTGCGTCTAGACCCTATAATAGTGTTGAGATGTGTTGTGAGCTAACTTCTCTAAAACAAGTCCATGATGCTAGTCTGGCATGAATGTCATTTCTATATCAAGACTATCAGAATTTTCTTGAAAGTTGTGAGGCTGAATGATCATTATAGATTTTCGTTTTTTCGCTTCTGTAATTTTTAAAAACTTATTAATGGTTATTATACGAGGACAACAATAAGTTGTCCTTATTTCTGTAACTTGCACAATATTGGTCTTTTAGACTACTCTGACCTTATTACTAACTGATCTCTAAGATATGTACTTAGTTTATGAATAGTTTTATGCATACGTTTACAATTATCACTGTAAGTAGCTTCGTATATGTCCGTTTATTCTCATATGACAAAAAAGATTGATTTCTAGTAACTAGTAGAGTTATGATTATTGTTCATTAGTTTATTCATTTGTTCTTCATTAGATATCAACAAACTGTTGGTAATCATCCGTAATCCTGATGTATTTTTTCTTCAGACTTTTTCTTTAAGGTTAAAGAGGGATGTTAAATATGTCTGATTTATCTGATACCGATCGAGAACGTATCGGGAAACTGTTCAGCGATTTAGATATAGATAAAGACGGTCGTATCAGTGTTAATGAACTTAGTCGTGTCATAAAAGGAAGCAAAGATGAATCAGATACTAAAAACAAAACAGCTAAGAAAATTATGACCAAAGGAGATATGGACAAAGATGAAACACTTACATTTCAAGAGTTTCTTTCTTACATTCATGACACTGAAACTCATTTGAAACTCGCGTTTAAAGAAATTGATCAGAACAGTGACGATCGAATAGACGCTAGCGAAATCCAGTCAGCCATGAAAAGACTTGGTGCTAATGTGAGCGAAGCTGATGCACAGAAGTTGCTTAAGCGTATAGATAAGGACGGTTCCTTAGACATTGATTATAAAGAATGGAGAGACTTTTTGCTATTTAGTGGGACTTCAAAGATTGATGAAATATTTAGATATTGGCGACATGCATCAGCCATTGACATAGGTGAAAATATGTGTGTTCCGGATGATTTCACAGAAGAAGAAAAGAAATCGGGAGATGCTTGGAAAACATTGGTCTCAGGAGGTTAGTACTGTAATTTGAGTTCTAGTGTTCATTTACCTTTTACATTTTTATCTGGTAACTTAAACATTTTACTTCTAATTAAAGGAATAATGCATACGAAATTTGTACTTTCTATTCTGTTAGACTCTGTGTAACGTGTGGTTGTTGGTAATTGGATTTTTGGTACTTAGCATAACTCTTGGACCGGTTAAGATATTTATACAGAGCTAGCATTTAAAGCGAAACAACTTAAGTGACATATTGCATCAAGTATTTACAGTATGAGTTGTTATTAGTATAATGAGTTTGTCGCAACAGTTACAAGTTGGCTGTTCTATGCCTTTTCTACTATAAAGATAATTTACAGTCTTTTAGTTCTTATTCACTTCTACTTGAGTTGATGTAATCGACAGATAAAAATGGATCGAGTACCTTTGTATAGTTAGTAACAGTTCTCCTTGTTGCAGAAATGACGGATTACCTTCAGTTTTCTACATTAGCTAGATGGCCGTTAATTAAGTGCCGTTTGAGGTGAAAACAGATTACTTTTTTACTGTTAGTGGTATGCTTGATTCTGCTACGATATCTGTTACTCAGTTTATAGTTGAGATCATTGATGATTGGCACGAAATATAGTCGCCTTAATAGAATTACTATGGTGTGGTCAAACTATCGCTGGAGTTATTGGTTATATCTGATATCGTTCGATATTACTGAAATTTTACGGGGGCTTCTGTCTTCCATTTTCTTGAAATATTAAGGTGATGGGGAGTATTTGTACCTGAGGATGAGGGCCCAAGCTGGATAGTTTACTCATGAAGCCTTTATTATCTTTCTCAATATTAGTGATATGAATCAGGTATTGATGTAAGTGTTTAGAATAACAATAAAAACTTCATTACTGAGTCTTTCAACTCAGAGAAAACACCTAAACAATGAAAAATAGTTTGTGTTTGATTTTTTTATACGCCTATTGTGTGTGTATAAACCATATACCAGATTAGTTTTGAGTTTCTAATCTCGAAATCTACCAGTCATTATTGTTTAATGCACAGTGAATAAACAGTGATGATACTAATTAATTCTGTGTTATGGTCTTTTTTGACCATTCATGTGTTTTTATTCGTCTCGGTGATTGTCAAACAAAACTTGGTGGAAGGTAGCTAAGTTGCGGCAGTTTCTTTTAATAGATTTCTGCAGTGGTTCCTCGCTTTACAATTAGTGACGAACAGTCATAACAATTTCTCTTTGTTGTTTTGAATAATATTGTATTCCATTCAATTGGTTATTACGATTTTCCTCTTTGACCTTCCTAAAATTACCCATTTGTTGAATTCGAACATCTTAGGTATTGCTGGTTGCATCTCTAGAACTGTAACGGCGCCTTTGGACCGCATTAAATTAACATGGCAAGCACTTGGAAGTAAGGCTTCCGAAGTAGGTTTATTGGGAACAGTCAATAAAATGGTTAAAGAAGGTGGGGTAACAGCATTATGGCGTGGAAATGGTGTTAACTGTTTAAAGATTGCTCCAGAATCAGCAATTAAATTTCAGGCTTATGAAGTTTACAAGTGCTGGCTAAATGAATCATTTGGTAGTAATCCAGATGGAAGTCTTCAACTACATACTAAATTCTTAGCCGGTTCATTGGCTGGTGCAACTTCCCAAAGTATTATATATCCTATGGAGGTATGTATTTTCTGCCTCCAGTTATTAATCATAACTGTATGCATTGTCATGTTGCCAAATCATTCTATAAACTTTACTATCTTGCTTTGGTAGCATATTTTCAAATGGAATGGGAATGTTTATTTGCTGACATCTTTGAGGATTACACAGGTGATCAATATATGTTGCGAAAATAATATATTTCCGAAAGTGTTCGGTAAATTTATGTAAAAGATGTCTTTGCATATGGAGATTTGCCTATCCCAGTTCAGTTATTTTAAGCTAATATGGAAGCGGGTGATTTTTTGCCCATATTTCCTGATTTTAAAGTTTTGTTTCACCGGCTCTTTATGAATAACCAAACTCTGTTACTGACATTTAGTCTTTAAAATTATACAAATTTATACAGTCCAACTGATGTTCAAACTAAGTACGTATTCATCGGAAGTATCATTTGCATACAAATTATAAAATATATACAAGTGTTTTATGGTGTTGTGTGATTTGTTTTTCGACCTTTATTTTATGATACATCCAAAATAAAAAACCCAAGACAAGTGGTTATTTATCGCTAACCAAAGCTTTAGTTCAAAAAATTTTGTGTAAGATAAGGTTTCATTAGAAGATACAGTCTTATAGTCGGTAACAACTGGCGAATCTCCGTTTAATGTTAATCTTCCATTATTCGTATCTATTGAATATTTTTAAATTGATACTGACAACTTAGTGGTTTATACACAGTCATCGGATTCATTTCATTGATCCCTCCTATTGCTATTCACTACAAGCGATATGTGAGTAAAAATTGTTGACTGAGAATATTCAGCACAAGAATACCAGTCCTTATGTACGCTTTCCTTTTTTATTCATAGTTCACATGTTTTGTCTTTCATTGACCAGTTACATTACCTTAAATCATTTTTCATGTTATACGTTAGATATTACTTATCAAAAGCTACGCTATTAAGGTATAACTGATTTATACTATAAAACTAGAAGCGTAGGAAGCAGTACACAACGTTTTACAATGACGATAATAATGTCTACACCTTAATGGGTTGGTACGTTTATTGTACACATTTTATCGAGTCGCGTTTGTTTTCCACTTCAATATTACTAACCGCAACGATTAAGCTGATTTTCCATATGATAATCAATTCTTACTGTCAAAAGTGAGTATACGTGATACAATCAGGTTTCAAACTAATTAACACAGAAAAGAAGAGTGTTTATCATTATTATTGATGCAGCTTTTGTGATATTATATCACTCTTACCTGTCTTTTATATTTTAAGCTTAATGATTCTACAGTCCTGATGTCTTTCACTGTATAAATTGCTATTCTTACTTTGCCTTGACAATATTGTTTATATTTAGTCTGATAACGGGGGCTCTCTCTCCATACATCAAAACACTAAAAAGGGTATAGCTGACAAGCTTCATCTCATATGAATGGGTGTTTGTTAATATTACGAGTCTACGTATAGCCTGTTGATATCTTACTAGAATTACCACTGTTTGTTTCTGTCCTTAGGTACTGAAAACACGAATGTGCTTGCGCAAAAGTGGACAGTACTCGTCAATATTTGACTGTGCTCGAAAGTTATATCACAGTAATGGTATTACTATATTCTATCGTGGCTATGTGCCTAATATACTGGGTATTCTGCCGTATGCTGGAGTAGAATTGGCTATGTTTGAAACATTTAAACAATCATATTCTAAAGCATTTTTATCAAAGGATGAGAAGTCTCAAAATATACCTCCACCAGTCTATGTTTCTGTTGTAGCCGGTGCTCTTTCATCATTATGTGGTCAGTTAGGCACGTATCCATTGGCGTTAGTTCGAACAAAACTTCAGGCACAGGCATCTTCAGAAAAAGTTAGTTCACAATTTATTTTACGATTATTTCCTGTTTTCGGTCAATGTTTATTGACTTGGTTTCTAACTAGTTGAACTATGCTTTATAGTGTGTCGTAATGACTCTTTTTGGAATCTTCAATGATTTAAATAGCTATCACTTTCAATATATCTCTCTATGACTTTTTCTCTTTTAACTTTCTAAACGGATAGATCGACAAATGGTATGAATACGAAGCAGACAATTGTTACAAGTATTACACAGGTCGTTTGTTTCGGATGGGATCTCTGTTCAAATGTAGAATTCGTAGTTCTTTCCATTAATGTACTTTCCTAGTGAAAGCGTAAGCTCAAGCTTTTGCTTAGGGAAATGGCATTAAATGTGATCATGCTTTTCGTGTGTTTGTATCGAAGTGGATTATATTTTTATGTGATGAAAGGTCGTTAGTACTTAAATCAACATTTTTAGCTTTGTTCTATGGAGTAACATACTTATCACACTTTACAAAACGTCAAAACTATTCTAATTTCTTAAAACCTTGTGGTTGAAGAACATTTTCGAGTCAGTTTTCGCAATCATTCACCAAGTTTTCATTGTAAAATTTATCTCATTCAATGAAATGCTTAAGATGCACTACTGAACACCCAGATTATACTTATCATTATTCAAACCATAAGGCGGAATTCAGGTTCCCTTTATTGTTAAGTTGCCAAGTTAAATCTTGGTAAGCTCAACGCTAAAATAAATACCATCTGCTAGTTATTTTTAGGGAATCAAATTTTTAGATTTTTAGTTTAGTAAACCTTAGTGTCTCGTAAGTAAACAAATACCTACCAGTCACAGATAGCAAAATCCGATCTAAGGCCTCCTCGTGATTCTACAGGGTAGTAGGAGCAACCTTGCTAGCTAACTTGGTTAGCCGGTAGAGATTAAACTAATCCATTACTCTACTGTAGGTCAGGTTCAGTGGGTCCCATCTTTTGGGGGTCCCAAGGCGTCTTGCGGGCCGCCAGATTTGTATGCATATGTATATGAGTTGCATGAGACTACCTGTGTGGTGTATGTTTACAGGTATATGCAAAGGGTACGCGCGTGCGTTAGCACAAGTAATTTAAGCCCAAGAATTCCTTCTCTATGTTTAATAAGATCAGTGGCCCAGTCCTTCAGATTGTGGACAATAAAAAATATGGTAGCAAATACAAGGAAGAGGTGATCATCAACCTTCCCTGAAAGAGTGCTTATGCTGATGTGTATATCATAACGGCTTAACCAACCTTAACACGGCTGGAACACTGTACTAGCCAAATTACGCAACGTGATTTGTGCATTAGGCACTGGGTTTTTGAAAGCACTTACATGTTTATCTTTAAATTAATTACATTTACCGTTTAAATTTATTCATTGGCATTTATTTACTGAAGCACCAGATGGAAAATTCGTTAGAATGCAATACCCTCCCAACTTACTATCTATAGATGCCCAGTGATAATCTTCTCATCTTACTATATCATTTTCCACAAAGTACTGTTAAGAAATATAGTAATACTACTTGTTACGAGTTATACCTTGCTATTTAGATATATTATTCTGTGATTCTTTTGTGACTTTGAAGTAGTTATTGTAATAAAACAACAAGTTAGTTCGACAGATATGTGGAGTATATCAGTCAATAGTTTTCAGTCTCACTATAAACATCTAAGACACTGTTTCAAGATTTTTAAATGCATCTTAAGGCTTTGTGTACAAATTTGTCTTCAGGATAATTCTAATAAAAATAAAATAAAATATCTTGAATAGCATATGACTTCGTTTCTTACCTACTATGCACTTATTATTATTATTTCTTTTTCTATAGACTGGATTATTAAAAATTGTCAAAAATATTGTGGAACATGAAGGCATACCAGGTTTATTTAGAGGATTAGGGCCAAATATTCTTAAAGTTCTACCGGCTGTTAGTGTTTCGTATGCATGTTACGATCAAATTAGAGCATTTCTACAAGTTTCAAAATAGATCTCTATACCATTTTACTTGCCTAAATGTTAGATCCTGACCATTTTAAAAATCACGTTTGTATTCTATCTATAAAATACATTCGGATTTCCGAAAACTTATTTATGTTCACTGTTTAATTACTGGATGCAAATACTCTTATTTTTTGTTGTTGTTTAATTAATCGCTTTATATTTTATCAGAAGATAAATGTCAATTAATTGTAATGAAGCATATTTTATTTTTGAATGATATATAGCTTATTTTCTTTTAATGTGATGTTATTGTTTCAACATTGAAATTTGAAATGTGATTTGTATCCTATTTTAGTTCATGATTATCATCATCTTTCTGGATGTTTTTATTTTCATCAGCAATAAGAAATGGATATATTTTATATGCACATATATATTAGTTTTCTGGTACTTAGACATTTGCTAACTTTTTTCTACAATGTTTTACTTTTCCTTTTTTTTCCGCTAACATTCATCATTTATTTCTCTAATCGATTTTCAACATATCGCATACATCTTTAAGATCTCTCTTGTCAGCATAATGGATTATTTTGTCTAAAATGTTTATTTTTGTTGTTGCTTAAATTCGTATCTTGAATACACTTTTTATAATCTTTCTTACTTTATATATCGTTCTGTGTAAATCAATTAGTTATTTGGTTTTTACAGTTTTGGAATGGAATTGAAGGACTAAATCAAAATAAATTCTCGTTTTCATATGATTACCTGAACAGTTTTTCTAATAAGTCATCATTCAAAGATGTTATCTCATCACTGCTTTTATTTACTTATCGTTCTGTAGCCACAGTGACTTTTGGTTTAAAACTCAGCTTCCGACCATTGGGTCGGCATTTCAACATCCCCAACTGGTCAGCATCATTAGCTGTCAAACAATGTATAGTTTGAAGGCAAGTACATAAACTAGTTAGTTTCATATGTGGATTTCTTCATTCACACAGAATTGTGTATTAATAATAATTATTCATATTACTCGAATATTGTATCTACTTCATTATTGGGATAAACGACTGAAACAAATCTAAATTTCATTTGGTAACAGTATAATCTAACTCTCTCAGACGGTAGTCAAATCCCGAAATTTTAACTAACGTAAAATGTTCATTAATTTGATGAAAGTTGGTCCTATGTTGTTTAATTAATTGATGTATGTACAGGTTCTCAGTAGTACAACTATTGATACCAATTAACTAAAATTTTATAAGTAGGATGGAATATTCAATTTCTATTACAATAGCTAACACTATTGCAGCTTAAGTTTAATTTACTTCTTCGATTTTGTGTTGGTCTCTCGAATTTTCTCATTAATATTTAGGACTACAATTGACCAATTTCCTATTGGTATATAAAGATCCCGTGCGGATTGTCTCGATATCGCCTTAAGTCATAAGCATTATAAGTTGAGATGATGGTGGCTAGCAATGGAATCCAGAATGCACGTTTCGTCTTATTCGGGACTCGTCAGCTGGACGTACTTGTATCGCAGAGTTCATATTCACTCCAGGACTGAAGGGAATATCGAGGCAATCTGCACAGTATGCACATATGCCAATAAGAGACTGATCAATCGCAGTCCCAAACATCAGTGGGAAGATTCGAGCAACCAATACAAAATTGAATTAAAATTTACCCTATTGCACAAGCTAGTGGATAACTGGACTCAGTACCTAAGTGGATAACGCGATGGCGTTTGAAGTGGACGGTGCTGGGTTCGAGTCTCGGAGTGTATATCAACTCTGTGATGCAGACACATCCGGTTGACGAGCCCTAAATGGGACGAAACATGCGTCCTGGATTTCACTGCTAGCCACCATCATCTCAGTTTAATTTATTTCTGTTTCAACCACGATATCCTTTAAAAAATGTATTCCTTTCTAATAGTTTGAAGAAATCAAGAACAAACTATACATCACTAAATGTTCTCTTCTTATTTTACACCTATGAACATTTATTTTTGAAGGGTGAAAACAGTTTCGTATGACGAACTTGTACCACGCTATGTAAACAAACGTTTTTAGAAATACAAGAGAACAAAGTAAAATGACAATTCAAAATTTGAACTAAAATAGTGAATCCCAAATAGTTGAACCAGTAAATATAGTTCAAAGTAGTTAATTGAAGCTGTTAATGTAACATCAGAGAGAAGTCAATAGTTTACTGACTCAGCAGATGAACATGAATCAGAGATAAAGATGATTAAGTCAGTCTTTAAAGATAACCTTTCAAGATTATTTCCTTGATGGTTTATCAAATGAACAGTTTATAGCTTTTCCATTATCAGATATCTTCATACTGAATCGTTCATTTCAAGGCCTATTTAGTCACCGACTTGTTTTCATTCCACTATTCATACTACTGACCCCCTTTTCAGCGACGTCAAGCTTTTTCTTATTAAATACCTATCAGTCTTTTCTGTATTCCTGTGGATTTAATAAATTTATCAGTCAAGTATTTGTTTCTTACTAACTAGTGCCAAGCGAGGGGATAAAAGGTTGCTATTTGTTTCTATTCTAAAAACTTGGTATTTTTTTGAATGCTCGGGATGCATTACTTTCACAATTGAAATAAAATCAAATAATTACTGTGGAAATGGAAGGTTGATTACATTTTGCAAAATAGGTTTCGTGAAATCTGGCTACTTCAAAAATTGCTCTAAATGTTTTGAAGGTGTTGACTTTATACTCCGTATTCAAGACTGTATGTTAAGTGCATTACATGGAGATTTATGATCATGCCATATTTTATGTTCTTTTTGCTTCAGTTACATATATATATAACTACGGTGAATAGTTGTCTAATGAGTGACAATCGATGTCTAACTTTTTCACTCAACGGTTCATGGAACTATCTAAAATCCATGTAGTTTTGTACGGGTAGACGGTTTTTTAAAATTTAAATCACGAGCCGATGAAAGTTAGGCGAACATAGGAAAAGTAGAAGCACTAGATGGCAGTTTCGTCCTAGTATGGGACTCAGTGGTGCGCACCCACGACTCTAAAAGCAGGAATTGAACCAGTCATCCTTGGGAGGTTGATTATGAATACAGTGATCTTGAGTGCTGTTAGAGGTATGAGGGCGGTTATCACTTCTCGGTTGCCCACACCGTGGAAGGGTTCTTCTGGAGGTGCCTGAAAAGGAAATTGGATTAGAGGTGGTCTTAATGACCTGAGAGCGTGACCGCAGTGCCCAAGGAACAACTGCTTGAGGTCGGTCACACGACCTTTTTATGGGTAATTTTTGTGTTAGCTCCGTACTTGTTGAGACCTTACCGCCAGAGACGGATATCCGTGGGATAAGACGAGGTGTTCATTTTTAGGGTCGACCTTTTCTAACCCCACCCCTCCTTGTGGGAAGGCAGCATCGCTGTCATGCTGGCTGTCTGAAGGAAACAACTTACTGCCGTCACACCTCTGTACAGTCAGCAGTACGACTTCGCCTTCGAACCTTAGGTTTGTTGCCTTTAGTCTTATCGCTCTTCAACCGACCTGTCTGACATGGTAGGACCTTGAGGAACTGTCGTTTCAGCCAGTATAGTTCGGTTGCGTCATCACGACAGGCAAGCCCGACCACCACGTCAAGGTAGCAACAACGGTCGAACCAGTCATTCTATCTCTAACGCGAACACTCAACATCCACTGAGCCGAGATCCATAGGTATACAAGTCTAACTTTGATTGGCCCAAGATAGTTCACGACCATCCTTCATTGTCTTCGGTGAGTAACCGGCTCACATAACACGGTTTAGCCCCACTGGTCATGACGATTCGTAATACTTACGGTGGGTCTTTTTGTTTTCATTTGACCCACGCCTAGTTTATTATTTCTCAGAAACTATAGGTCATAAGTAGTTAGTTAAGAACTGTGAGAAACAATAAGATCAATTTAAGTAGTCATGGTTCAAGACAAAAAGGTAAACAAACCAAAAATATAACCCATTAGAATAACAACCAAACTAGAATTTAAGAAACAGGGCAGAGAAAAATTGACGACAGAAATATAGGGTAGGAAGATTGTATTTCCATAAAGGCACAATATGGACCCATTTACACTATACTAATCTGTCTTCAGTTTTTTGTCTATCAACTCATTTTAGTTTTCTTATGAACTTCGATTTGGAAATTTAGATAACGTAAATTAAAATCACGAATTTCATAAATTTATTCTTTTTTAATATGATCACATTCACGCTTCTCCCGTTTCACTTTTGATTCTAGACACGTAAGTAGTTGGATTGTTGATCTTCTAAACAGGAAACTAACATTTCCTCTCAGACGGTTTCGCTGTGTAGGTGTAGATATTTAGTGGTATGGTTGTCCCACAGTCCGTAACTACTGTATTTTCCGCATAAGGTAACTATGTTTATGAGTCTACGAAAAAGTAATGTTCTCCAAATATAAATTCAGTTAATTAGTTAATTTACATAATTCAAAGGAATTCGCAGGAACATCTGGGAAGTGAAGTGTCACATCACACTTCTGATTGGTACTCACTTATACTGCTACTATATTCAAATTGTTGCAGAAAATTCTAGGAGCCCAAATTCATCTGAAATACTATAAATACCCTCGATTTTCTTCACATAAAAGAACCTTGGTGTAAAGCGATCTTTTTACACTTTACCCCTTTTTTCTTGTGTTCAAGTCTCCGTGTAGATTTGACCTGAGGTAATTAGAAGCGCTTAGAAAACTGATTCAAGCGTTCAGTTGGAAGACTTGTCGTTTATACATTGTGATGTTTCCTCTCAGTCTCTAGTACTGTATCCATCTAAATGAGGATGGAGTTTAGTAAAACTATAACTTACGCCTGATAACCATCGTGGAGGAATGCAGACCGCCCCCCAGGATTCTCCGTCGAACTCTTTCCTGGGCTCTCCTATGCAGTTGCTATTGATTCTTTTGATTTCGCCTTCCAGTTTCGGATTCAACGTTTTAGTGGCCAATCATTTTGTCGCCAATTAGATTGGACGACGACGTTATCGATTGGCTCACCACTTTACTGGCCCTTGTATCTGACTCCAGTTAGATCGTTTCTGGTTGTGATCGAAATACACATACCGTCGTATATAATTATCTACTTGAATTGCGTTAGTGAATGACGGAATTTAGTAAGTCAAATACGAGGATGGATCTCGAGTAAGTATATTTCATATAACCATCGACACAAACAGACGATCAACGAAACGAAGAGGAGAGAGCGAAGCGAGACGAAATGACGCGCGGTGGAGAAGGTGTGTTAGTCAACTCGATTTACCCAAGCGTGACTCAATATTTATAGTCAGGCCAAAAATAAGTTACAGACACATAACAAACAGGGTAAGTAATTAACAGGCATACGATCACAGAAAAACAGTCAGGGTTATTAAGCGAATAAGTGTTAGGGTAAAAATGTGGCTTGAGAAGAATTAATAGACCGGTGTGTCCAGAGGTTAGAGTAACCTATTTCAGCTTGATATAGTACTAGCTCCTTGGTCTTCCTCTTTTCCGTTTCCCTTCGAAATTCGCAGTAAGGGCTTGCCTTGTGAAGAGGTCTGACGATTTTTGTAATATACACCCACCCCACTTCCAACGTCGTTTCCCAACTTCCTCTTGAGCTGGAAGCCGGTTTGTCCTCTCCACAGTAGGCTGATGCTGATAGTATCCGACCAACGGATATTTAGTATCTTACGTAAACAATCGTTTGTAAATATTTGTACTTTTTGGTGATGCTTGTAGTGGTTCTCCACGTTTCAGCTCCGTACATAGTACCTTTGACGCTCGTATTGAAGATTCTGACTTGAACATTTGTTGACAGTTGTTTTGAGTTCCATGTGTACTTCAATTGTGGGAACGCTGCCTGTTAGGGAAGAACTGAATACATTTGGGTGATTACAACCTTTATATTGTATATTAATACTTTTACTGTGTTTTTCGGATGTATTTGTTTTAGTCAACTCCTGAAATTGTTTGTTTATATCGTTATTTTTGGACATTTTGGTTTATTTTGTCTTTGGTTTGGTATTTGAGAGTTTTTGCTCCGGGAACCTACAAAATTGAAGGTTTGTTGCGTAATTATTACAATCATTGTTGTTAGAACGACATTTGGGTCGACTATTTGTAAATTGTGAATAAACTTTGGTACCTAAATTGGGGTTTGGTTTTATTGTTAATTTGGGTTCGTAAATTGCAAATAGATCGATATACCGTACTTCAATAACGGGAACGAGCAAAAACTTGGACGTCAAACTGCCTTTGCCTTTACAATCTTCGCTTTTACGTCAGCATCAGATCCTCCTTATTCATCAATGGTGCTGATCAGGTACGTGAAAGTTTCCACCTCTTCTAAGGCTCCTGCATCAAGTGTGATTGGGTTGGCGTTCTCTGTGTTGCATTTGAGGATCTTGCTTTTTCCTTGTGTATGTTGAGGCCCATTGTTTCAGAGGCTTCTGTCAAGTTGCTTATCTTCACCTGCATTGGTTGGTGTGTATAGGATAGAAGGGCCTGGTCATCTGCGAAGCCCAAATAGTCTGGCTGCATCCAAGTTGTCCATAGTTTTCTGTGCTTCCCTTTAGATGTCGAGGTCTTCATAATCCAGTCAACCACCAGATGACGTGTCCTTCTTTCCACTCTGTCGGCACCTGTTGTTCCTCTCAAATCTTCCTGAATAGGAGATGGAGTATCTTTGCAGGTACCTCTATGTTTGACTTCGGAGCTTCGGCTGGTACGTTGTCTGGTCCAATTCTGCTTTCCCACACTTGATTTCCCTGATTTCTTCGATCGTTGATAGAGTGACATAAATAGTAAGGTTTGTAGGTGCTTATTCGATATCCGGCGGGTTCAGTGAAGCTGGAGTATCCAAGAGTTCTTCAAAAGGTTCCTCCTAGCTGTTCCTCTGTACTTGAATCGCAGAGATTGGATTTCCTCCCCTGTCCCTGACCGTTCTCTCTGGTTTATTATATTTCCATGCTAATTTCTTCGTTTTATCATAGATTTGTCTCATATTTCCTTCTGTTGCAGCGTTTTCATCTGTTATTACTAGGTTGTCTACGTATTTCTGCTTGTCAGCTTTAATGCTCTTCTTTACTTGCTCATTCGCATCTGCGTATTTGGTCAATGATTTGGCTTTTTCTGCAGTTGTTCGGCTACCTGTGGTCCAGCAATTCCTGATACGTTGGAATTATTATCTCCAGTCGCTTCTCACTTTTCCTCTATAGTGGTTTCCTCTTCTTTGAGCAGAACTCTTAAGGCTAGGAACCTGTTGCCACAAGCTATCTTGAATTCGTTGTGTTTGCCAGTATTTCAAAGGAAGGCTGTATTAAACCATTGTAATGCTGTTTCTCCAGTAGTTTAATGCGTTTTTTAGTTTCAGTTCCATCTTGGCCACAAACAGGCGGTAATCTGAAGCTATGTCAACTCCTCTCCTGGTTCTCACGTCTTTCATTGACCTTCTGAAAGTTTTACTGGTGCAAATATGATTTATCTTGTTCTCCGTGGTGTGGTCCGGTGAGATCTATGTAGCTTTATGTATGCGTTTGAGTGGAAATATTGTGCTGTCTATAACCAATTTACTGAATGCACATAAATTTGCAAATCTCTCCCCATTTTCGTTCCTTTCTCCTACTCCATGTCGTCCCGTGACATCTTCATATCCGATGTCCATTTCGATTTTGGCGTTTAGGTCTCTCATCAGGATTGTCAGGTCCTTTTTTGGACTGATGCCCCTCATAAGACAGATCTTTATCGTCTTCACTGCTATCATTCATGGACGCACAGCACTGGATGATCCAATGTGAACACTTCTTTATTTCGAAGGATGCTTTGATGATCCTGGATCTATGAGATTTTCATCCTATAAGTGATTTTCGAACTTCTTTGGACAGCATCAGCAACTCTGAGTGTGCGGAGCACTTCCTTGTTCATGACTAGAATACAACAGGACCCCTCTCGAATCTAATTTTTTCTGTCCAGAATGCATCCAATAGGTTTCGGTTGTCCCGAGAACTGCCAAGCTGTATCTCTCTATTTCCGTAGCCACGAGATTGGTATTCCCGGTCTCCTACATTGCCCGGATATTTCGCATGAAGTGATGGTCTTCTAATCTTGAATATGACAGTAAGAGTATCATAATTGGGCTGTTTCTGAATAAGGAATTACAATCTAATCTGAGTAACAATTTTCATTTATTGTTTTATCTGTATACTTCCTAACGTCTTCATAATATCTTTTTAGCAAGGTTGTTTTCTATGGGATGTGGTTGCTGATTCCATGCCCAAGCTTACTCCTTTTATCGGGCTTGGGACCGGTAATAACCCTAGAAGAGCTACAGGCAGATTTAGGACTATAAACCTTGAACTAAAACAACTTTCTACTAATTTAAGATTCTAAATTCAAAAGATTTACGAAAATTGCAGAGACTGGAATTCAGAAACCAAATTATTTTGTAATAATAAAAAAAATCAGCATATATTATCGGTTTTGAGAAATGGATATGCTCTTTTCAATAATACAGCATTGAATGAAACCATTGGTCACAATTATTCAGGGTGGAAACATTACCAGAATTTATGAAATTTAACTTACTCAAAATATGTTTACTTCGAATAAAAAATCAAATGATCCAACTTATATATAATTTTGTATTTTCACATAACGAATTTGTTTTGGATAGATAACCATTGAAAACCAATGATCATTACGGGGTTATTTTGTCGGCACATTGGACTGCTCAGCAGTTCATATACACGACTCCATTGTTGAGAAAATTCAAAACTTTAAGTAAGCGTTTAACTTTCAAGTCACAGAGTTGACATCCAATAGTCTGCATTAATAACCACAATCAAAAAGAAATCCTATGAAGTAATCTAGTTTTTTCTTCTATTAAAAAACATTTCATTGTAAATCAATTATCAATACTAATAAAATAATTATTACTTTCATCTGTTTTGTTACAAAATATGTTCGTTTTTGTTTTCTTTTTCATTATAGTTATTATTTCTATTGACTGATAGGCAAAGAATTAGACAGCAGATTAACACTTTCAATTAATGTACATTTTGATTTTACAAATTCAATTAAAAAATGCATTATTCTAAAAGCTAATTGCAATAAATCATCAAATCTTGTATGATAACATCTAAATTGTTCATTGAATTTCTTCGTATTTGTTGTAATGTTTAAAGATTTCGATTGTTTTTGACATAACCAATTTAAAACACGTTCTATTAGTAAATGTTCCATTTGTTCAGATAAAGGTTGAAGATAAGTTATTAATTTGGCAAATAAACTCATTAAACAAACGACTGGCTAAAAAAAAATTTAAAGAAAATAAGTTTGTCAATGATGCAAGTAATCTAATATATCATTCAATATCAACAGTTGAAATCATGAATCAATTGAAGCTAGACCACCATGGAAAACCTGAAAGCACTGGACGGCCGTCTCGTCCTAGTATGGGAATTCTCAGCAGTGCGCATCCACGACCGCGCCCGTCGCGAGATTCGAACCCAGGACCTGCTGGTTCCGCGCGCGAGCACTTGACCACTAGACCACTGAAGCGGCATCTAACAATGTTGATGTCTAACTTTAATTAATCCGCGAAATCGCGTGGCACATGCACCATTGTCTTCAGTGAGCTGATATCTCACAACAGACCTGGTTGAACTCCACTAGTTACGGCTTCTCGCTAGAACTCCAGGAAATGCCTCTTGAAGCCAGTCACTGGTAAGCAGATGATTATTATCAGAAGAGGTTTTGTGGAGATGTTATTAATTTCAATAGTCGAAATCATGGTTCGACTGAAGCTAGACCACCATGGAAAACCTAGAAGCACTGGACGGCAATGGTGTCCGGTGGCGCAACTTTGTGGATTAGTTGAAGTTAAACATTAACACTGTTGGATGCCGGCTGGCTCAGTGGTCTAATAGTTAAGCGCTCGCGCGCGAGACTGATATGTCTTGGGTTCGAGTTTCGCCGGGGGTAGGGTCATGGATGCGTACTGCTGAGGAGTCTCGTACTAGAACGAAACGGCCGTGCAGTGTTTTCAGGTTTTTCATTGTCTTCTAGCTTTAATTGACTCATGATCTCAACTACTGAAATTACTTAAATCTGCACAAAACCCCTTCCGATATAATTCAGTACTTTAGTTTATATTTAAAAGATAAACACTTTAGAATGTAAAATAAATAGCACACACAACTCATTAATCATTGGATTTTTTTGTTGCTCGGAATTAATTAACAATCTGATCATCATCTAAATATTTTTATAAGAAGTTAACGTGATATATACATATTCGGATATACTTTTATTCACGAACAAGGTTTTCTGATCTCACTTTGAATGGAATAAGTTGATTTGTAAAAATTATCAACATACTGTCGAATTAAAAACTGAAAAGAATCTAATTAACAACAATATTATTCGTTTGTATATTTTATTATACATTACGCAATGAGAACTTTCTTGATATTTTATAATCAAGCAAAAGTCAGTTATGAAAATGGCAAAAGATTATGTGATGTCACAATAGCAAAGTTCTTTTAGTTAATCAGTCATAATCAACGCAGAGCTTGGCATAAATGTATGCTAACCCAAGTAGCCATACCACAATAACAAAATAAGATAAAATTATTAAGTGAGATAGCGAAAGAGTCAAAATAATGTAGTAGAAAAGGTAACGAAGAAGACAAAACACTGAGAATATGATTCAAAAATACAAAAAAGGTATGTATAAAGGAATGCTGGGACTCAAGATAAAGGGTAAATACAACTGAGTCGTTATGACCGATCATGAGTCATTTCATATCATTTGTCCTCAATCAGGTATTTTGCACCTAACAACTTGGCTCTGATCCACAGTCAGTGACTTAGTGAATTGATGACACATTTTGGTTCCGCTACCTCTAGCTTTCTTCCACCTAAGATTACCCATTTAGTAGGTGGGCGATTAGGCGTAAGTGAAGCCCGTTCTAGTCAACTCAGTTGACGCAATTCACAGTTCCACCAACCAATTATCTATCTTTTCTTAGTACCCTTTGCTTAACTTTATCAATAATCACTCTGAGAACCTAGTTGTTCAACCACTTACTCTAAATATGTTTGATAATTGTGGCATGAAGTTACGTTACTATCAGAATCTATTAGCTAGATACGCACACTTATATAGTTTTGTTGTTACATAGATCATTTTTGTAAGCACCTCAGTAGTCAACTTTGTTCTTCCTTTACTTAAATTTGTGAAAGCAGTCATCTGCCTGAAACATGCTGATTATGCAATCTAAGGTATTCCCACTTTTCTATTCCTTACTTAGTCAAACGTATGTTAAATAACTAATGGTGTTTCGTTGCCACAAACAAAATACTTATACAAATAACATACATACAAATACGTTACAAATTATCACTATCATTACCTTAATAATTTATGAAAAAAATTCCTGTGATACTGCTATCATGAGGCTTCTGTATACTTGGTATTTTAATGTTTTTCGCCCTGACTTGTGTCGCCTTTATTGTTACTTTTAAAAGTGCGTGTTTGTTAAATCTATCCATTTATGTTAATTAGTTCGCTGTTAAATAACTTATTGAATTAGAGATACCATGACTTATCGTTTGGCTTCAAATGGATTAAAGTTAAAGCCGACTTTCATGAAAGCAGTCGCATTTAACGATTACAGTCTGTAAGTAGGCTATAGGTTGTGCACCACCCAAATGTAAATTACCCCTATGAAACTTGCCGACACATGCGCTTTCACCTATATTTTGTGTTGCATCGTCTGAAACGGCCGAGACTTTGGTGTATATGTGTAGCTGTACCACTGATGATATGGACAAGAGTAATTTACATACAGAGAAAATCAGAGCAACTTATATCAACTTGAATTACCTTCCAGGTAGCTCTGGCTTTAATTTGTCCGTAAGATTTAACTCAGACCTACAAACCATGGTTTCATGGACCGATATTACATTTCAGTTTGGGCTACCTTGAATGTTTTCTTACCCACTTCTACACTAACGAAAATTTTGCCTCGAAGTAGGTAAGAGTAAGGTTTACGTAACACATATCTCAACCACCTCATTCGACAAAAAATAAACTCATCAATCAATCTTTTATACATACCTAGTATCTTGAGTCTAAACTCGGCACTGATCTATCAGTCGTTCCACAGTACATAGACAGTGATTCCAAAATTTCTAGCCAATACAGGACTTCTATTTTCATAGAGTATGTTACACAGCCATAATGTAATTGGAAACTTGCTTAGCAGATCGATCAATTCGCTACTGAGTTGCATGTTTAGATTAAACCACCCATTATCATGCAGTTCATGGAAGTGGTTATACAAAAAACCGAATAATCTCAATAATGCTGAGGAAAACTTATCTAATTTAGTCGTCATTTAGTCTTTAGAAACTTCTATTTATGCAGACTAATTCAATACTCATAATATAACTAAATATATTTCAATGTTCACGAGAGAGACAAAATGATAAGCTGTTTGACTCAATTTTAATTGTTAACAACACATATTCATTTCAAGTATACAAAGTAGTCGATATATTAGTCGCTTTATTAGGGACTCTTGTTTTAATAAATAGTTCATTCGTTCATTGAACTTTACTCATACACTTACTCATATATTGACTTAATATGCAAAATTGATAATTCATATAAAATTGAGAGGTTCTATCTTACAGGCTTCATACAATAGATAGAAATGAAAATCAATCATATGAGGTTAGTACTACATGATACATCTACACATTTTGCTCCAGTCGATTTAGATACCGGCAGTTGGGTTACGCAATTCCTAGATGTCCACAGAAGTAAAATCCATAAAACCTTTATGTATATTAAGTTGATTAGTCGTGTAAATCATAGCTTATTTTCATCCGAAAGGTAAACTGATCATGTTCTCGTAGCCCTAATTACACTAAATAAATAACTAATCCGTAAAACTGAACTACTAACCATATCAGATGTTGAAACTAGGAATTACATTTTTCTAATTGATAATGTCCTCACAGAAAAGATTAAAACATTTTTATTCACGTGGAAATTGATTATTATTTTCCAAAGGAACAGTACAGGCTTAATCATGGAATTTTATCTGTTATATCAAATAAATTTCGAATAAAAAGCTAAGACTAACTTCAGTTTATTGGCTCTTAAATGTTCAACATAAAATTGATCTTAGAAAGCTAATAGAATATTCAATCATTCAAATAACAGGGAACATGGTGAAGTAATTCACACTAAAGAATCAGTCGTAATTAGTTGAAAATAATATCAGTTATTTCAAATAAATAATTTGCATACTGGTTACATTCAAAATTGTACAAGTAGTGAAAACATCACACTTAGATAAGATTGCTCATACTTAACTAAAAAACAGAATAATGCAATTAGTAAAGATTTGTTCATAATAATGAAAAACCATAAGATCACATTGCCAATTGACAGTTTATTTGATTTTACTTGACATATACCATTTAACTTCAACATGTTGACAAAATGACTAACTTCAAATTTTTGGGAAAACTCCACACAATTACAATGAACACTTAGTCAAATTTTAATACAACTTGAAAGCAGTTACGATTGTTGACTAACTAAGAATTGATATTATCATTTATTAATTTTTGATAGTGCGGTGAAGATTCCGTTACAATATTCAGAGAACACAAATAATCATCTCTCAAAACTGAAGTATAAATCGTAATAATTTTTCCGCAAAGAATTAATGCCATAATTTCCACAGTTGCATGAAACAGATTCCTAGTATCACCAAATCATAAACAGTTAATATATATTTTTCAAAATGTTTCACTGTTTGTTTGAATCTTCCCATTGATGTTTAGGACCGCGACTGATCAGTATCCTATTGGCACGTGTGCATCCTGTACGGATTGCCTCGATATTACCTTCAGGTACAAGCAATATGAAGAAAGATGAATGGTGGCTAGCAGTGGAATCCAGAATGCTTGTTTTGTCCTATTTGGAACTCGTCAGCTGGATTTATCTGCATCACCGAGTTGATGTTCATTTCAAGATGCAGCTACACCCAGCTGACGAGTCCCAATTAGGACGAAACGCACGTCCTGCACTCCATTGCTAGCCACCATCCATCTGTGCTTATAATCTTTGACCAATATTTCAAAAACTATGGCGAATACTCAGACAAAAGCTTATACTTGTTAGAACACAAATCAATATAAAAATTACCCATGTAAATATGCTACACTCTAACTTACTTTCTCGAAAATCTCTAGAGAAGTTAATGTATCTTCTTCAAATAAAGGATTTTGTTGTAAGCTGACCAAGTCTTGCATTCGAAGCACTGGAGACTATAAAAGATGTATATAAATGTGTAATTCTTGACAGCTGATAACAAAACTTATCCAAGGGAATACTACTGACAATAATTACAAGTACATTTTTTGAGAAAACAAATCATTTTAAGTTAATGATAAACATTTATCCAATATTTTAGTTAGTGGGGTCATACTATTTTGCATAAAATCGAGAAATTGTCGGTAAATACCAAAGTTGTAATGTTGTGTCAAAAACAATGACACTAATATGATGGAATAAAAAGTCAAACTTAGATTCTTTAACTCATTATAATTTCTGTCCAACATTACTCTCGTTTTAATTCAATGTAATGGTTACCCAGTGTAGTATTTGTTTTCATTTCCTGTGTGATATTTTATTTGATATAACATTGATATGAGTGTGATGTTTGTTAAAGATACGATATTCTTGTATTAACTTAACATCAACTATGCTTAGCATGACACGCATCATTTGATTTATTATAACTGTGGGTATTATCCATATATATGATTTCATTCTAATTAATCATCAAATTGGGTATACAGTCAACATAAAAATGAGTGTATTTTTGACTAGGATCGTCGTCGTGTTTTGCGTTCAACAGATCTTCTTTTGTACCAGTCTTTGTATTCTTACTTCGCGTCGTGGGAATTGCAGTGGTTCCTCGTTTTACAAGTAAAGTAATCAGCGATTCCAACATAACAATCAGCGATGATCAGTCATAACAAATTAACAACGAGATATAAAAGTCACAAAAACTGATAGAAACAGAAATATTTAAATAAGCTCAATCTGCATAAAATAGTTATGGAACTGCGGTTTAGTGGTTAAAGCATTCAGCTTTCAACCATCAGCTTGAAGGTTATGATAAAGGTTTAGCTAAGTTTGTTTGGTGATTCGATTCGAAACATATGGTTCTTATACAAATGGTGTAGCTCGAAAGTGAGTATATAAACTTTTGCTTGGTTGAATGAGTTACAATAATATTTACAAAGCAACTACTTTGTTGATTAGAATAGAAGAATCATGAATCATTAGTTATTATAATGTTGATCTAAATCCCACTTATTAAAACATTCAGATAAAAGTACGTGTTGGATCCGTTTTTAGCAAGTTCAGTATTTTTGTCATTAAAACAAGTATTACATTTTAGCACATCATGGCAACCAACTACCATTTACACTGTTTTGTGTTTCACAATAGGTTTGAGAAACATTTTTATTCGGTTGTCAAATAACGTAAAATGATTATTAATTTATATTAGATTATCATCAAGTACGCTGTTAGGTTAGTTACATCGAAAATTGATTTTTCTTTCCATCATATCAATTTCACATAAGGTATTGTGGTGGTTGATTGATGCTAACCAACAACAGTCGGTTCTTCAATGAACAATCCTCCAAATAAAAGGAACCTTGAAAGGATTTTGCTTAATCTATGGAATTAACTCACAACTAATGGACTGAACATGACACTAGTTTCTACTCGATGATCGATTAGTATTCAAGTTTCAATGCTTAAAGACAACAGTTACAGCCCAAATCACCCAGCGATAACCATTCTCCATATTTAACGCTGGGTAACACGTATTGAAATCCTGCAAAGAATTTCAACCCCTCTAAGAATATAGACGTCCCTTGTTGGTGAGTTTCGACTAGCATGGACCTTGAGTCTAAGGCACCTTTCTGGGTTTTTTAATGTTTAATAAACATCAAACAAAGAACCCTTAAGTGCTGATTCACTTAAACCAATCGTTACATTGAAAACTGTTCGATAGAATGTGGACAACACAAAGAATTGAGTCGATTACTAAGTGATCGGTTAATACTTCTTTCTTACTAGATACAATATGTACTGTAGTTCACTGATATGACGGGAAGAAAAGTCAAAATTCGATTGATTTACTCATTATGGGTTTAGTTCAACATTACTTCCGTTTTGGTTCAATGTGATGATTATTCAGTGTAGTATTAGGTTTCGTTTTCACATATGGTATTTTATTGTATAACATACGATATTCTTCTATTAAAAACTGACATGAACTATGCTCAGCATATGATTTGTTGCAACTGTGAGTGTTTTTATATATGTGGTTCCATCCTAATCAAAATGGGTCTACGAATCAATATATAAATGAGTGTATTTTTGACTAGAGTCGTCGCCGTGTTTTGAGGGTCAATAAATCTTCACTTATACCAGTCTTGTGTTCTTACTTTCGCGTCGTGGGAATTGCAGAGGTTCGTTGTTTCGAGTATAAGTGATAAGCGTTTTCCGGCACAACAATCAGTGACGACCAGATATAATAAAGTAGCATTCGAACGACAAGACATATCATTCACAAAGGCCAATTATGATAAATTAATAAAGCAATCAATGAATAATTCGGCTTTAATCACCAATTGCAAACAATAATGTCCTAACTGATATAAATATGTCAGAAAAAAATATGATTTTTATCTTGGTCATTTAATAATACTGGTATCAGTTTGCAAAGAATATATAAGTTCTCCAATAAAATAAACCATGCTAATGAGTGCTAACTAATACTAAAATAATTTCTTAAAGCTACCTACTAATTACTTCGAAACCTTCATCACTCAATGGTCATATTGTAGTTTGATGAAAGTAGAGTAATATAATTTAATTAGTTCCAATGTTAACAAAAAAATGATTGTGAAAAGTGAAATTTAAATATCATACAAACAAACTGATCTCATGTGTTTATGTTATGGGGCTAGTCAATTTACTGAAAAATAGTTATATTAAATTTAGACTATTAAATTCACTGTATCATATTCAAAACTCTTATTGACTAAGATGGATAAACTACTTAGATTGTGTAAATAAGCCTTATTTGATTGAAAGTAAAATTAGTTTCGCTTTAAAACACAGTCATATTTTCCGTTGATGTTTAGGACTAAAATTGGTGTTTCTTTCGGCGTATGTGAATCTTGTGCGGATTACCTTAATGTACATATGCCAAAAGAGACCGATTAATCGCAGTCCTAAAAATTAATGGGAAGATTCAAGCAACCGATAAAAATGAGTTAAAATTCACCCCATTGTATGAATCAGTGGCTGTCTGTACCCAGTAGCTAAGTTGATAACGTGATGGCTTGCAAAAAATTGGCACTGGAATGAAGTCTCGGATTAAACATCAACTGTGGGATCTAAGTACATCCAGCTGAGTTCGAAATAAAACAAAATATGCGTCTTAGATTCCACTGCTAGACATCATCTATCTATCAACGCCAGACGTCCTGAAAAGTTTAGATATATACCCATTCATTATTAAATAATAACAGTCAATGCCACGATCAGGTCTGTAATGATGAGTGAAATTTGTACATCAACCAATTTTTTTTAAAATATAAGCAGTATCATAATGCATTGCTATTTCCTATGAACGTGATTACATAAATCGTTTATAGTTTCTTTTTAAAAATGTTAGGTCATACCTTTAAATGTGTCAACCAATCATCTATCAGTTTTACCAGGACCAATGCATTGAATGAAGTTTTGTCAAAATCATCCCAGGCTTCAGGATCATTGTTGAATTTTTTCTGTCATGTAAAGTAAAGTGATCTGTCGTTAAAACTCTACGAAACAAGTCACAAACTTAAAATACGTACGCACAATAAAAAAATAACTTTGTTGTATTCAGATGTATTTTAGATACTTTTTATTGACGTAATGACCATTTTCGGGGGCCAAAACGTGGGTTTTACGAGATCAATTGACATGCAGTCAGACAAGTTTGACTGTGCTGTTGAGAGTCATTTAACCATAATAACAAGAACAGATTGAAACAAAAGTGTAAGTTATTCAAAGGTGTTTTAAAATAAAGAGCGTATGTAACATAGCTGAATGTCTGTCTTCAATCCTTGAATAATCACAGCTCATTTTTGGTACATTACTTTCTAGCGACCATTAGATCAGTATTTATGTAAGCTAGTGGCACAAGTGCTGTTGTGGTGGAATACTAGAATCAGTCGTTTCAACATTACATCATTGAATGCAAGATATTCAGCGACTTTTCTAAATATTTCACACAGAATTACTTGGCTTGAACAACGAAGAAAATAAAGTACTGGTGAAAATATTTTGTGGAATCAATTAAAATAGTTTGGAGTTGTGTTATAATTTTCACTTATAAAGAAATCTATTTAATGTATCCTAAAAAGCACGACGAACAGACACAATTATAAACTCAGGTATTCTTTCACCTATATTTCTTAGATATTTTAGTTGGTCATGTACTTTCCAAAATATGTACTTGTACGAAAGCTGCTTAATGTTAGATAGATTCAGGAAAATTTAAATAGTAATATTATTTGAGTAAACATATTTACTCAGATGTCTATCATTAATCAGGTTAATTTATTCAAAGTTGCAAAGCGTAAATTCCTCAAGAAAAAATTTATGCAAACCTTCAGTCTATACAAACGTAAACAAGTGTATGAACGTATTACCTAGTGCTGCCTCAAGGTCAGCACTTTGGGTTGTGTGTGCACACAAGAGGTTATAAAAATGATGTAACATAATGTCAGTCGATTTACTTTATTTCTCATCGATTAAAAATGTCATATTGGAATGAAGCAAAAAAATCACTAGACGATGGACATATACGTTATATATATATATATATATATATATATATATATATATATATATATATATATATATATAAGAGAGAGAGAGCGAGATTATTGAGATTTGAAGTTCGGATGATTTAAATGCAATTTCATCCTCCTCCTCGCAATTTATCCTGTCGACCTTTATCCTGATTGGTTATTATTCACCTTTAACCTGTTATTTTACGCCTCGTTGTTTTGACTGTATCACCCCAAGTTAAGCTTGGTTCAATTGAGGTGAATAAGGCTGTTTTACATCGAAGGATATCATCAGTTCGTCGCTGTTAATCTGAAAGTTTATATAAGAATTCTATGTGAGATTTGATGAATCCACTAAATAGTTCAATATTTTTGAAATTTCTCTCGATAAATTGTATGTTGGTGTTCCTTGGAATAATACAATTAGACGAAGTGAGATGTTTAGTTTGTGTATTTTCTGTCTACCTAACAATCGAGGGAGTACTCGTCCATTGGATTTCATTATCGATTGATCTTATTTTGATATTTGTTCCGATTTGACAAGTTAGTTTAAAGTCCTTGAGATTTGGTTGTCTAAACTTTTGGTTAGATTTATGTACGCCTTTATCCCCAGTTAATAGAACTAGAGGAGATATCGTCGTAGTTCAAGCGGAAAAGTGACGCACTACAGTTATTATAGACAAGTAAGAATATATCAGGATAGCTGAGAAACTAATTGAGGATGAAATCAACCAATCAGAAAATTCATGGACAAATATAAGATCAAGAATATCAAAAGGAGAAACAATCAAAATAAAGAGGCGTAAAATAACAAGTTGAACGTCAACAATAACCAGTCAGGATCAAGATCGACAGGATAAATTGCGAGTCATATGTAGAGAAACTCAAACACTTCACTTCCACCTGACGTTTGTACTGACGATGTTTTTCAGAATAACAATCAAAGCTCCACGACCAAACCAACTAACTAAAAGAACAAAACTCCACCGATATATATATATATATATATATATATACTCACTAAACACTTACGAAGTATGTTTTACACAATATTGAAGTATCTCAGAGTATCTGATAACATCATATTATAATAATACTAAAGAGATGACAATATAATTTAGAAAATATTTGTTTAAATTGAATAAAAATGAACATACTTTCCAATATTCCGTTTCATTCACAACTGATTCAGGATATTGTGTAGTAAGCAGAGCTTCAATAACAGAGCTTGCACCAACAGACTGATTATCATCTACACTTTGATTTGGAGAATTTTTTCCTAGAAAGTAGAAGAAATTGTTAGAATTTTCAGAGATAAATAATCTCAAATATCTCCGTGTAGAAATGTTTCCTCAAGAAAATATACCATAATTATATGTCAATAAATAATGAAATTATTATAGAAAATCATATATTTTTATTTAGTTCAATATTAATAATGAATTTGGAAAAAAATTAAAAACTTTGAAAACCTCTTGGGTGATTGTCTCATATGTTGTATTTATAAGGAGCTCGCAATCCTAACTAAGATAGTGTAGATATCCTCAATTATATTGCTAAATTTTGTTGTTCAATGTTTTATGGACGATGAATAAATCTCAGTAGGACCGTACTTTTATAAACTTAGTATTCTACTTACAATATAGTGATAATATGATCATATGACAAATTTATTTTTAAATACACAATATACTTTGATTCCAAGTCAGCCGAACAAGGAATACAGCGGAGTCATTAGGGTAAATGACACAAAGTAACAGTATGCTTTGCTTACCGTTGTATATTCCTTTGCAGGTAAAATGTTGAATAATTTAGAAATAAGCATCACATTGTTAAATATATGTGAATTAAGTATTACAAATTACTATATCAAACATAGAGGAAGCAACACTACGAGTACATCTGTGATGGAGTCTCCAATACAAAAGCTTCAAGTGAAGTAGATTGATTTTTAACTAAATATTAGTTTTATAAAGATGGTAGCAACCAATAAAAATGAAAACACAAAGTTTCTGCTAACTGACTACAGATTATGCAAGCATAAACTTATAAATCAGTAATATAAAAGTGATTCATCTTAAGGTAATGGAAATAACTTTCGGAAAATAAAACCAATTAAAGATTATGTTTTTTAATCATCTTTCCCTTATTCATAAACACAGTACTAATTCAGCTGATACCTGAAATATACACATATTTTTAAATTAAAACAAAGTTGTGTAAGATTGAAAACAGAATAATACTTGAATTTAAGTCAACACTTGTAGTATATATTATTTACTGGTGCATTCAAGCATAAACTAATTTCAACTAAATTATCATTGAAAATTAAAAAACAACAAAGAATTGTTGCGTATTATCGTGGAACTTCTTAATAATTTATACTTATGACTACACAAGGCACCGAACTCAGGTCTTCATAGAGTATCAAATGTAATGAATCTTATATTAGTCAATCGACCTTACTAACATTCCGAAACGATAAGCATGTAAGCAGAATTTTAGACAGTTCAAACTATTATCGGAAACAAATAACTGATAGACACATTTCAAAATAAACTTTCAAGATTTAGCATATTATTTGTTGTTATCACTTAAAAGCCTTGAATCTTAGAGTTGTTGATGTTAGGGACTCAGATTGGTTAGTTTTTTTGGCATGTGATCATCCCCAGCGGATTGCCTCGACAGTGCCACTATATTACAAGAATTTTTAAGCAATTTTTTTAAAAGTGCCTGATAATGGAATCTAGGACGCATGGATCCCAGTGTTGATGCTTACGCTGAGACTTCAACACAGTACATTTCACTTCAGAAACCAAACACGTTATCCTCTTAGCCACTGCTTTTAGAAATGATTTTGTTGGTAGAAAACTATCCATTATTACACCGGTTCAAAGAGAATTCCCATTGAAAATAAATTACACAATAAATTTACTTGTCATCATATCTTTTTGGAACAAAGCATACCATATGAATAATCTACAGTTGTACTCGTTAGTTCAGTCGTTTCATCTGGTTGGCAACTAGTAAAAGCTTCTGATTGTGTAACATTTGTTGTGGAAAGCCTATAAACAATCAATAGAATGATTATTTGTAAAGTATATTCAATAAAACATTTAAATATTATTTAAAAAATTCATAAATTTACAAGATACTCACACAAAGCATATTTAAGGACAATGATTAAGTAAATGATATGTTGGACTCAAAATCATAAGTAATTTCTATAATTTTTTTTTCATCTCAAATACCTAATCCTGATTTATAGATCAATTAAAATTTTGATATGCGATAAAGATTACGTTTGACGATACAACTGAAAATTCCTGTATATAAGCTTTGTCAATTTGTAAAAAACATTGAGAATAGATAATGTACTCAAAATCATTAAGCTCAGAGATAAGGACTATCCTTGTTACCTAAAGTAAGCTCAAACTAGTTTAACTTAACTTGTTTTGTTACAAAACTCCATAAAAATTTCAATCCGCACCAAAAACACTCCACTATCGTTTGGAAAATAAAAGTTAAATAACTGTTAAGTGTTCAATAATTGTTTATTTACTTATTACCTTCATGAATTAAATCTTATTCATGTGCATAATCTATGGTTTTATCGGAATATACCTTTTGTAACTCCGCCTGGATTCCCTCTGAGGCTACTACCGGTCCTAAATCCGGATGAAGAAGGGGGGGGTTGGCATGGGGTTAGCGACCACATCTCGTAGAAAACTAACTCGCCAAGAAAACGTTAACCTTTTTTAATGACAATGTGAAAGAAGAGTTTTAAAATATGCTTCCTAGTTAAGTAATAAACTGTGAAAAATAGTTGCAATTTGTCTAACCTTGTTATGGAAATATATATATGGTGATATCCAATCTGCACACGTCAAAAGTAAGTAGTTTATTGAATAAGTGTACTGATTTTTTGGTATATTCAAGTCAGGCTTGGAAGCTAATAAGCATACGATAGATTGATTGAATTGACAGAATAATTCAACTTATATCATCAAGGAGTGACTGTAGGAATTATTGTTTTGTTATTCATATAACCTATTAGAGTCATTCCTCTGACACAAAATATTTTACTCAATATTACAAGTTGGTTAGCATAAAACGTAACTCAGATAAAATGTAAGCAAATAAAGAGGATAAAAACACACGTTTCATATGTAATTGCTAACAGCACAAGTATCGACTTAGAGTAATCAGAGCATTGAAACAAAATAGAGAAAAGATCGGTTAATAAGTAAATACATAACTATAGTTCATCGAAATGTAAGTAATAAACTGGAGAACAATTACTTATAGGCTAAAATCCCTGATGATGACTATATGTTAAAGGATGGCGGATGCTGATGATTTTCTATCGTTCAGCCGTTTAGATGAATGGTTAAAGTATCCAAAATGTACATCATATTGTATACGGTCAAAATAACAAACTTTGGGCAAAATATGGACAACGGTCATTGTATTGAGTAATTTTGGTCCATCATATTTTTCTTTCTCAAAATTTATGAACAAACACTTACAAGTGGGAATGAGTTACTACGTGTTTTTGTCTGAAAACTCAATAATCTATGTGACTTAATAATTAAAACACTTCTCATTCAATTGGTTCTATCAGCCTTTGTTCAGTTTATAACTAGTTAATGTAATAAGTTGAACAGATCGAATATTGATTAAGATTTAATCAAGCTTAACCGTCTAAATATTTAGTTATTATGTTTAGGTACTTTAAAATCATCTGAATTATTGTTATTTTTCTAAAAAGTGTGATTGATTCAATTCCTTCATGAAATTTTGTACTTTCATCATTAGTAAGTACTATGAAACTATATATACAATCATAATAGGCTGTATAAAAACATCACTTTATATGAAATATAACGAATATAAAGAAATAATGATTTTAAAACATGATCAAATAATGCATGATTTGTATAACTTTCGATAATGATTATAATAGATTATTCTGATACATTATTTGTTATGACAGGAGACTGTGTTTTATAGTCCGTTAATAGATTTCAATTAATCGGTTAAAAATGAATAAGTGGATTAAATTTTAAGGATCAAATGTAAATAATCAACTTTATATTTATTACAATTAATTAACTCAAAGCTTAAGACCTAAAACGAGAATTTTATCCATCCAATTAAATTTCTAAATAAATTTACGATTTCAATCCAGATGAAACATTTAAATACATAAAAACTTTGTCCTTTTAACTTTAATGACATATTAATTTAATCATGTATTCAATATATCAGAAGAGGTTTTGTGGGGATTTTAGTCATTTCAATAGTTGAAATCATGAGTCAATTGAAGCTAGACCATCATGGAAAACTTGGAAGCACTGGGTGGCCGTTTTGTCCTAGTATGGGATTCCTCAGCAGTGCACAATCACGTTCGAATCTCGCAGAGGGTGGGATCGTGGATGCGTACTGCTGAAAAGTCTCTTACTAGGACGAAACGGTCTTCCAGTGATTCCAGGTTTTCCATGGTGGTCTAGCTTCAATTGAATCATGATCTCAACTATTGAAATTATTCAAAATATATACTGTTGTGGATGCGCAGGAATAAACCAATAATTATCATGTTAAGTCCAATGGTGTCCTTGGACTTTAAATGGAATTTCCTATTGGTCGATATCTGTTCACTTGTACAAAATGTTGTTTCTATTTTTATGGTACGCTGTGGTATGCTTGACTGGTATATAAACAAAGTATGTTTGAAATATAATGATTCATATCTCCGAGGCTGTGACTTGTGTTCTTCACTCAACTGGGCTAGGACGGACAGCGAGGCAGGGCCAATCAGGGCACTAGGACGTCCGTACGTATTTACTGTCACCGAATCGATCAATAAACGCTGCTTATCAAAACCTGCAGTCACACCCGTCATAACAATTGGCGACGGGGTGGAGAAAAATTTTGAACCTTGTAATTGGACGCGATTCAGGCTAATTGTTTCGACCAATCAGCATCCAGATTGTCACCAGCGTCCTTGAGCAACATTGGTCATTATTCCTACAGTTAATTTTCATTGCTGGTACTGAAAAAAAAATGACTACCTGTTCCGATCAATTACAGCTTCTACTTGAGCAACAACAGCAGTGCTTCAAAAATAGCCAGTTGAATTTTTTAGAAAATTTACACACACTGTTGGTAAATTTTCCATGTTTCGGAAATGCAACAGAAGTTGGAAATTTCATTTCTCATCTGAAGACTGAGCTGGAAAACAACTGCAGAACATATGAAGCTGCCTATAAAAGCCTCTGTGAATCCCGGACGACCAGTGATGTAAACGAGACAATCATTCATGATCCGCCCAGTTGTTCAGAAATGTCAAATTCAGAAACATTCCCTGTTGTGGGTTCAAATCCCACTGTGCCTGAAAGATGTGAGGTATCCAGCTTACAAGAAGAACCTCTCGTGTCAGAAAATGTTTCCCGTGCATCAAATAATGGTCAGAAATCTAATACGAATTTCAAAGATGCTGTTTGTTTTAGTGACCTATTATCCAGTGATAGAATTTTGAAGAGGTCTGAAGAATATGTTGCACAAGAATCAAACCTTAATGACCTCATGTCTGGTGTCGCTAATCCTCATCATCTAGTCAGTCTTAGTGAACCCTCTACTCAATGCGCGAAATATGCTTTAATTCGAATCAGACTAACTGTTGCTTGGGTATATGAGGACCCAACGTTATTTCGTGGGGGAGGATGAACCCAGAAAATTTCAAAATCCGGATATCAACTCCGGATCTTCAAAAAAAAGGGGAGGTGTTGTGGATGCGCAGGAATAAACCAATAATTATCATGTTAAGTCCAATGGTGTCCTTGGACTTTAAATGGAATTTCCTATTGGTCGATATCTGTTCACTTGTACAAAATGTTGTTTCTATTTTTATGGTACGCTGTGGTATGCTTGACTGGTATATAAATAGAGTATGTTTGAAATACAATGATTCATATCTCAGAGGTTGTGACTTGTCTTCTGGACTCAACTGGCTGGGCTGGACAGGGAAGCAGGACCAATAAGAACCCTAGGCCGTCCGTACGTGTTTACTGTCACCGAATCGATCAATAAACGCTGCTTACCAAAACCTGCAGTCACACCCGTCATAACATATACATATGCTCGAAGAAAGGTTATGAAGAGTTAAACAAAATGCCAATCATATGTTGAAAAATTTACCTGACCGTTCATTTTAAAATAAATTAGATCATATTCGAAATCATAAGGGAAAGAACAGGGTAGCCTTAGTTTATTTATCGTTCAAATTAATTCAATGGAAAAAGATGTAATATATATTATGTAAGCTGAACAAATTCACATAACAGAATAGAAAGCTTTTAAAATATTTCGGGAAAAAGTTTAAACAAAATAATGAGAACGCAATATTTTTGTCAGTAATATAATTTTAGATTTCATATAACATTTCACAATAATGAATCAGTCCAAATCATTTAGAGTTAAATATGATCAATTAAAAAGGTTATAAAGAAATAGAAAATTTTAACTAAACTATTAAACAATAAAGATTAAACAAAATGAGATTAAGTTTCATTATCATTGTGTATTTACAAATTGTCGGGGAATTTGTCAGTGATTGATTTTTTAGCTTCTTAGTACATGGAAAACCATTTTCTCCAGTTATTTTGCCTAGTTAATCTATAATACTTATGTGAACAGTATTCTCACGTAAGAAGTAATTAAATTATGACTGTAAGAAACATTTAGTTTCATAGTACAACTAGTTCGATGCTGTAACAAAATCTACTCTATATCAGCTATATACAAGCAAGTGTTTAGTTAATATCAAACAAATAGTATCTCATGCTTAAATTTAAACTTTTTTCGAAACAAAGATATCACTAAAAGGATAGGTTCTTCCTTCGTTTTAAAATGATCATTTATAATGAGACCAACAAGTTCACGATGCGGAACATTCAAAATAGTTGCAGTCTACAAAAGGTTTAATTTCAGGATATAATTTTACACTAGAACGTTCAAAATAAATTAAATCTACTTTTTCCAAGAAAAGTAAAAGCTGAGCATAAGGATTTGTGTATTTCACTAAAACATTTCCTTAGAAATATGGGTAACTACCACTCTTTAGGATTCCTAGCTGTAAGTTAAATGAAAGGAAAAAGATTCCCATCACGTACTGAATTCGATACAGAACTTAAAAATTGCGAAAAGCCGCTGATGACTTTAATCAAACCGTTTGAGTTTTCAGTCTAGCAACCTGCTTGTCATGATTTTTAATATAAACAGTAAAGGAGTTATAAAACAGTCTTCCCTCATACAAGGCAGACAATTGATTGCCACTCTCACAAGGAAAAAATTATTACAAATACAATTCTATAACTTGTTCACTGGTAGGGTGAACAAATGATTCTTATTCACAGATAAACATGAGAAATATGCATTAATAACAAACAGTAAACTGGTTACCTTTTTGTTGATTGACAATTATTTTCATCACTCACTATTCGATTTCTATAGTTTGAAGAATCTATTTGTACTGATGTGCATCCTGTCACGATGATTCTGACAAGCAGCTTGCAACACATGTATATAATCTAAAATGCGATGAAATACAGAACTTGGATTTTAGTGTAAAAGCCACATCCAATGGTTTGAATTTGAAAATAACATTTAACTGTTTCCATGGACATTTGTCAATGGTAAAATAAATGTAGGAAAGGATATAAATGACACAAATAGAGTTCTGTGACCAGATATTACTTTGATAACTGATTAGGAACCAATGTCTTATCGGCTGTCGCTCAATACTTATCAAACTCTATCACTTCAGTCTAACTGCTACCTGAAATTTAAGTGACTCGATATCGCAGTCCTGATTATTGCCTACTAGTAGAATAGGCTAGTAAAAATGCGACTTGGTAGTTTTAGTAGATCACTTCACTCTTGTTGTTACAACCTCATTAAACTCGGTTCTCGTCTGGGAACTAAGCATACTAAAAAAGCTTCCAATACATCTAAGCCTTAAACAGTAACATTGTCTGTCAGTTAATACCATGTTGGATTCGAGTTAATAAACTGTTCTACATACCTCCTATTGAAAAGGTGTAACATCTGTCAGTCTAAATGCAGAAGGTGTCATGGTTATGCCAATTTCTTAGAGTATCTATGTACATCAAACATTGCTTATTTGATTGACCACTGGGTAGTAACCAATGGCAAGTTTTTAGTCTTTATTCCCAATCGAATCTGATTGATTAAGTTGCACTATAGTCATTGGTCGAAGTGTCTCGACATTACATACATTGTTTTAATATCAGGCGGTTGGAAATGGTCATTTGGTAACATTGGACCTAGGTTGCATTCTAGAGAAGGTATCTCATTATGAATGCAATAGCTTGTGATTTATTTTCATTGTTTTGTAGACAAAAGTGAAGACTGAAAACAGAGGTATAACGTTGAATAAATAGTAAAGTACAAAATAAATTCTTTAGAGAAAAGTTAAATAATTGCACTTTTAACAATAAAACAATAAAAAGAAAAGAATTATCTACCCATTTTGAAAAATATTTTCATTTCATTCCGAGCCGAAAAAACGCTAATTCTCCTGGTGTGTATTTATTTATCTATCCTTGGTAGTTACTATTGGTAACTTAGCTTTAAGTGAGCAAACAGAAATGTCAGACTGTTTTCTATATCTCAGAAATCTACTAGAAAGATTACAAGTTTCTCGTTGTTATGGTCGTTATTATATTATTACTGGTTGTACAAAAAGAACGGTAAAGTTATTGTCTATTCACTATCCGGTTTCTCCTCAATTACGACCAATAAATTATACTTGATGATTTCATCAATTCACATTAATTAATCAGAATAGTAAAATTGTTTGGTTCTTCCAACCATCGAATCCATTCAGGTTTTGTAAACATTAAGTAATGGCGCATATACATTCGTTCTTTAACTTCTCTTAGATCTCGATCCTAGAAAATATCTTAAACTTTATATGCCACGGACCTATTTTTCCTTCTTAAATCATACTGTCTGTGTTTGATCTTTTCTACTGAAACTAATACTCTTACTAACTCTATTACTCAAGCATTTATTTTGATAATTACTTATCGTTAATTTGATATGACTAGGTAATATGAACCGATGCACATGAGTGCCACGTTTTGAAATGACAAACTTCACGGGTAAAACATTGGTATGTAATGTCTAAATCATAATATCTTGGCTGGATATTTTGTATATATACACAACAGTCTAGGTTTTTTAATATTCATTTACCTATTTAGCTTGTTATTCAGTCTTTCGATATTTAGCTAGTTTACGTTAAGGGGCTGGACAGTCTTCAGCTTAGTCTCCTTATCTATTAACGGTAATTTTCACATTCAATTATGCTATTTTAAGAATATACTATATAGATGGGAAGATTAAAAGAAAAGCAATACATAAAATAACTATCCATGTAATTTAAATGTGAATGAATAATTGAACGATTTGTCCGTTTTAAATGAATCTGAATGAACAATTTATTATTTTTTATAAAATCGTTTACTTCATAATCACATATTTCAGACTCATTGACAAGAACACGCACTTTTAGCAATCATTGACAAGAAGTTTTCAAAATATTTTAGATCTTCAGGCTTTCTGTCATTTAAATTAAGACTCGAATGCTTTGGAAATTTATTTCACACAGGTATCTTGTTTCGTTGCACTCAATGATCGATAAACTTTTCTCACTACTTAAGACCGAAACATGGTAATATTTATCCTTTAGCTATCTTATTATGTAACTATCACACAATAGAATAAATGTATATAAAACACCCAGTGAGTTCAGGATGAGTTAGCGCCCCCCGATTAAAAATGAGGGCTTTTTATTATGTCACTAAACAGCAAGTGCTAGATTCGCACACCGAATTTAAGTAACAATACTGTCACAGATGTCCGTTATTTTTTCCGATTTCTTCCATCGTAGTATACATTTTCAATGTATTTTAGATTCAAATAAATTAATGCGAAAGACCTTTTGATATGAAACATTCTCCCAGATAATTACACACCATCATAAAACACAATCTGGCCACCAGTGCACACCATGATTGAATCTGGAAGTGTTAGAAATAATAAACGCGCAAGACTGAAGATCTTGGGTTTGATTTTCGACTGTTTGGCTGCGGACTCTCGCTTCTGAATCCTATATTGAAACGAAACACCTGTCAAGTTCTTTCAGATTTTCAATAGTTGTTTATTTAAATTGGTTCGTGAGTTCAGAGAGATAAAGGACTCTTAACCCGAAAAAGTTAAACCGTACAAAATAAATCATAATGAAACAGTAAATTGACCTGTCTAGAACTCAAATGTGATGGTAGACAAACATTATCCCCAAAAAGATGTTTTAATTCATATACCATATTTCCTTTACATTAAATCAAAATCTCTTCTATAATATGATGTCGGAAAACTTTCCTTAAACAATTAGTTATCTTTTAGTTTTATATCACGAAATGACCTTAGTGCATACTGGTGGCTGACTTTTAGGCGTAATTTCCGAAGTTATAATGGGAAGCCATGACTGGTAGAATACATTCATTTCGGATTCAAGATGAGTCTCATTAATCGCAGTGGATGATGGTCTTGTTGTACTAAGAACCTCTGAATGACCATTTAGTCATCAGAGGGCTAATTACTCACTGCGAGGTCTATAGATTCTGGATCTGACTCTTGATGGGGTTACAAAATGAGGCTTGACAAGATGTTTCATATTAAAATGAAACAGCTATCCGCTACTCCATATATTTCAATAATTTTCCAAATAAGATCAGTCAGCAAAGGAGAACTTTCTCTACAATCGTTTAAATCAAAGAAACTAGTTATGTCGTAATAACTAATAAGTGAAAGAAGAGTGTTTGGGAATAAAAATACATTTAGGCTACAAGTTGTTTTAATCATGTGAAAAGTAATTGGGCTTTTAGATTTTAGAGAGAAATCAGTGAACCAATCAATGTCCGTTGAGGGACTTTTTTACACGATTGTTTCAAAGGTGAAACAAATTTTGCTTTAAAACGAGTAGGTAGATATAGCTAAGTAAATTTCAGTTTTGAACATTACGTATGTCGCAATTTTTTTATTTTCAGGATAATCCAACTATGAAGAAGATTTAAAAATCTAAACTAAACGATAAGCAAAATAAAAATAGTAATCGCTATAGTTACGTGTAAATGTAGAAAACTGTTCGACCTTTATAAAATGCTTTGATGTGGAATGCATTTGTAAGTGTAAATAACAATGAGGTTTATAATAATATAAATAATTTATTAATTAAAATAGGTTTACACGGGAGCATATTTATTTTTAAAAGAAAATTGAGCCGGTGGCCGTAAGCTAAATTAAATGTCATCGCTTAACTTAAAAAACTACTTTGTTCATGTGGAAAAATACAATAAAGATATAATATCTCATAATGGTCATCATAAAACTCCAAAAGATGGTTTGTATTACGAAACAAAATCAACATTTAAGTTGTCAATATTTAAAGAGTATTTGACGGTTTTCCATAAGCTAGATATTGTATAGTTTTTAGGCGAGAACTCTTAGCTTTGGTGGCAGATTTGTAACTCCGAAGCGACAATGTTACGTGTCATCGGCATATGATATTTCACTCTAAACAGCTTCAGAACATTAAAGAGGAATGTATTTATAAAATATTAGGCGTATTTGGTTTTGATTCAACAATACCGCTGAGATTTTAAACCTCACTTGCTCAAATTTATTCGAAAGTTCTTATTTAAGCTTTAGAACATGGTTCAAATACAATCTAATGTGATCAATAAACACGTGCTCTGACCTAGAATTATGTCAGTAGTAAGAAATTAGTCAGTGTAAGTGTTTTGTTATTACAATACACTGTTTATAAACAGAAATCTTAATAACCTACAACTAGTTACGCCGGTAAAGTTCCTTAAGAGATATAGGATAACCTTACAATATAACCAAATTTTATAATTAACAAACATTTAGGGTTATTTTGGTGAATAATATTCGTTTTTTAATGTTAAATTTTATATACAGTCCATGAGGGTTAAGTCTAAATAAGTTATTGTAGACAAGAGGTTTATTTTCAAACACTTTATTGTTTGATAATTTGGTGCAAAACCATTAAAAACTGTATTGTCATTTGTATTTTTGGACACAAATATACATTGCTGACAGTCCAAAACTTGCTGATTTTTGGGAAATAATACTTTTTGAGCACCTGTCACACTAGGAATCGTGGTTCTCGAGTAAAGTTATAAATCCTTTACTGGAATCTAGTGACAGTCATTGTCAAGAGACCTTTTTACCAAATCATCTTTATAAAACACAAGTATGTGTTTGGTAGAAGAGTGCGAGTTAAAAGCCAACTAACCAAGACATGCAAGCACTTGCAGGTCACCTAATGTGCGCATATCAGATAACAAACTGAGTTACGACAGTTAGAATATGACTGGATAAATTCCTAATTCCTAGCTAACTTAATCAGTAAATTGCACTTTTTAAAGCTCATCTATCCACGAATTCAAATGGTGCACTTCAAATGTTTAAAAAATTGTGTCTCAATGTGTAAACAAAGCATCCTACTACAGGAAAAGGCAAAAATTGTCGACGGTAATTTAGTACGTAATGTTTGGTAAAAGGCTTGTAAAAGAAGTTGCCTGTAACGTTATACACCATCCCAATAAAATGTCGTATAGCTAGTTTTCACGTCTATGCGTCCTTTTTAGGACTAACGTGCATCCATTATGAAATCTCAAATGAAATATGAAAGTTTATTGGCAAATGAATCATCTTGAGGTTTAAAGATAGCATGACTTCCAAGAGTTATTAAGACAACCTTTATTATTCGTTAAATTATTAAAACCTATTGATGCACAACGTGTGAAATACATAGGAAATATTATAGAACCACGATTGAAGCAATGAAAATTCTAGAAATCACACCTAAAAGCATGCTCTTCGAGTATGGAAATATAAAATAAGTTCTGTATCGGTTATTTACTTAACACATCTAAAGTGCTAACAAAGATGTTGAAATCAAAACTCCAAAATTTGTTGTGAGGATCGATAAGCGTCAATACGATTCACACAAAAGACATTGAATAACTTAAATCAATATACTGTTTTCATATTCTATAGGTCTGACTATCATCAGTCATTGTGTTTTTGGCAATAACTGCTTACTGTTCGTCAAATTAAAAAGCGACAACACAGAAAGACAACAGATAGACTGAGTAGTCTAAAGTAAAATTTATTGTCTCAGGAATAAATGTAAAGAAAACCAGTTGAAGTAATTTACTTTTGGAATATTTCTTAGCCTTATCCTTTCCGGTCCATGCAATAAAACGTTCTGATGTTTAAGAAATGCTTCTAAACTGAACTGTCCGCTAATTTTATCAAATGAAAAATTTAATTACTAACTTACCGTGATCCGAAATATATTCGATAAGGATTCAGATACTTTTCAAATTTATATACGCATTCAACTTGATTCTGGGTTTGTATAGACCCTGGTCTATGGAAATAAAATGTTTTAATACTTCTAACCTTCGGAATCTAACATATTGTATTGCTTCTCCAGCGGAGATGCGGTTATTAAATACTAGATAACAGGCAATTATTACACCAGTTCTACCTGAAAAGTTATGCGGAGATGCATATAAACAAACCAAGTCCGGCATGACAGTGAATTGCGATTTTTCCTTTAAATATTGCAAACTGGATTACCGTCACTGTATCCAAAATGAACTGCAGTGATGCGACATCGTAGTCACACCTTAACACGATATTTGTCAAAATAACTGATACATACCAACTAAAATTGTAAAAAGCAACTGTATATCTTATCTTCTTAGATCAAAATACACTCACTATTGTTTTTCATGAAGCTTAATGGGTCATATGAAAATCCAGAACTGAGTAAACCAAAGCCGCAACTACTGTGTTCCCCTGCTGTTTCCATGTTAAATATGGAACGAATACTCATTCTTTCATAGATTTGTGCCATTACTCACTATACCTTTTAAACTGCTCAATTATTTCAAATTCTTTAATTAATTTTTCACTTGGTCTAGATGTTGCCAGTATATTTTGTGTAATCCTAAACCTTATACGTAATAATACGAATACCAAGTAGAGTATAAGCCATTTAAATGCATTTTGGTTACGTCGAAAAATGATGAAGGGTTGCAATATTTACATTTCGATCCGCCACAAAACAATAAACAAAGGTTTTTCTCTGGAATTCCTTGTCGCATGACATCAGAAACAGGAGAATTAAGGCTCTTCATACAAACACCTTGGAAGTTCAATAATTACAAGAGAACTACTTCTATATTTCAGGTTGTCATTGTACTTTCCATCCCAATTTAAAATCTCCAAAATGTACATCACCTAAATATTTCAAAAGGTGACTTCACAATGACCTTTAAGCACTTGATATGTGAGTATTTTAAACAAGAAAAAAGGAACCGAAAGCATCCAAAAGGCCACTGTTAAATTTTGGCCGTTATAAATCAAAAGAGAAATTAATGCGTGTTTTGCATTTGTAAAACGTGTAATGATGCGTCAAGTAACCTGTATTTTATTGTTAAACTAAATTGAGTATGGAGATTTGTAAGGACTGTGGTATTTTAGCAGTTGACATCATTAGTTGGTCTAAGTTAGATCACCAGTTAAAACCTGCAAGCATTGGATGGCCATTTCATTATAGCATGGGACTCAGATTTGCTCATCCCTCAAGGGTTATACAAAAACGTAGATTGATTAAAGGCAGACAATAACCCTGTTAGGTCCCAGCTAAGTAGTCTTGATTAAAAGCGTTCTCATGTGAGGCCAAACGTTCTAGTTTTGAGTCCTGTGTGCAGGGTATTAAGCGAGTACTGCTGAGGAACCACATACTGGGAATGATAACTCATTCTGTGCCCTCAGGTTTTTACTGGTAGTTTGCCTTAGATGGACTCATTATTTCAACTCTGAATATTGTTCAAGTGTCTTTACATTACAATTACAACTTCTATATTACTTCTTTATTTTGGTAACTCTATGTTTCGGTCTTCGCGTATTAACTTGTCCTCGGTAAATGCTTCCTGGTTTAGTATTTTTTTGTACATGTTGAATCACAATCTTTCGTAACCCCCGTATTGCCTTTTAGTGAAGGAAAAAAATGCACAAAAATCTGTCGAATTATAGCGGCAAAGATACTGATACAAAACAAATGATATATCGGTAGTTGTTATAAAATGATTTAGTTATATATTTCTACAATAAGAAAACGACGTAATGATTTGAAGTGGTTGGCGAAAATTTTCACAACAGCGATCATAACATAGTCCCCAGCACCCTTCCGATTCTTGCCATGTGCAACAAATTAAAGACATAAAATACGTGTTTTTAATATAGAGACTATGCAAACGCTGATTGGGAAAAATTTCGATTTCTAATAAACCACTCTGACTGGAGCAGTTTCTTTACCAGTGATAACCTCTTAGAAACATTAGAAATATCCAATACCACCACTAAATACACACTAGACACTACTATATCCTCTAAAATCGCTTTTAAAACAAAAGGCTATGTCTAACCTGCGAAAACTGAAAAGGACGTACTATATATCAAAAGACTTCAGTGCCCTACACCAGATATACTCTGTAGTTGACGGAGTACAAAGTCAACACAACAAGCATAAATAATAATAATAATAATTTATTCTCAAATAACAGTTTTTTACATGAGGCATGCCAGTTTACAGGCAAGATCAAACTGATACAAATGATACAATATCCACTGTAGTAAATTACATAGCTGGGTTGATAATTTATAAGATATGAATGTAGATGGTTGTAGTCAGTATAACAGTTGGCGTGCTTCGTGAAAGTGGCGTTGCGAATGTGCAACTGATGGTCAAGGATAGGCCCATTGAAGGTGAGAGCTTCTAAATGTCACAACCTTATGTCCCTTTGGAATGTCTAAGGCTTTGAGGATGATGCAGGATAAAATCTTTCGTTCCATATCACAAGGGGGCTGAAAGAGGGAGCAAGTAAAAGAAAACACGAGGGGCAGAGTAGCCAATATTCATGAAGGAATGTTTAAGGTATGATTACTCAGTCTGGTTTTCTTTTATTAAGGTATTTGTTAAGAAAGAGCATTTAAATAGGTTAGAGAAAATAAGTGTTAACAAGGTGTGAGTGGACATACAACTGACAATGGAGGCGATTCGGAAAGGAGCTGAGAGTATGGGGTTATGTGTGATTATAAAATAAAATATAGTGTTAGAAACAGTATTGTGATATACAATTTGCTGTCTTCCTTTTATTATCGAAGCTATTAGAGCCCCTTTTGTTTTTTTGTATTTTTTTCAGGTATTATAGGGTCTTGAGTGGGCTTCGTATATTAGCAAATTGTCTAGTTTGCTTGTAATAGGAACGTACTGCGCTCACTGCTGCATCTAAAGCCCAAAGCTTATGTCGTCTCCTCGCAAAACGCATAAGAAAGGACGCAGATCACAACATTCACTGTTTACTGTACGATAAAGTGACGTATAATGACCAAACCGTCATATGTAAACTATTAAGTGAATGGTTTCCTCACAATGGGATTGCATCTTATGCCATAGATATCAACATAAAGTGCATCAGCAAAAATTATCTTAGTACCATAAAGTTCGACATTAGGAGCATACATACTGCTATTAAAACCCTTAAGCCAAATGGCAGTTTTGGTGCCAATAATATCCCTTCAGTCGTTTATGAAATGTCAGGGCCGAACATAAGGAGGCTATTACTCTGAACATAACCATTATCTTTAGAGATAGGTACATATCCGGGAACCTGGAAGGTAACATGTGTTCTTCCCAAACACAAATCCGGACCGAGAAACCTGGTCGAAAACTACAGATCCATAAATATCACTCCAGTCATATCACGAATAATAGAAAAAGTGATACAAAATCAACTATCTGGTCACCTACTCAAGGAAGACCTAATAGACCCATCACAACACGGCTTCATTAGAACAAGGCCGTGCAGTACATGTCTGATAGACTTTTTTAACGAGGTTACTCGCATACGTGACCAGAAGAAACTAGTTAGTATACTATATTTCGATATTAAGAAAGCCTTTGATAAGGTACCTCATAATCTAATCAGCAGACTTAAGTCAGTTGGAATTATAAACGCCTTTTTGCAATGGATCAAGTCTTTTCTTACGAACAGATAACAAATAACCAAGATCAACTCTACAGCATCTACACCTCGACCAATAACCAGTGGTGTTGTGCAGGGTAGTATCTTGGGTCAAATGCTCTTGATAATCTACATCAACAATATATGCAAGTGCTTAAGTATAGGTATTACCTGCCTCTATGCCGATGACTTGAAAGTCATCCATAAAACTGACATTTGCTTTGTACGTAGTACTATGCAAACAATCCAACATGAACTCTACATGATAGATGACTGGTGCAAACGCTGGACATTAGAGCTCAACACAGAGAAGTGCGGCTGGTTCTGTATAGGGGACACGTCTCTCAAAATAAAACCAACATTTAGCAATCACACACCGCCCAGACTGGCATCAGTAACTGACCTAGGGGTGCATTAATAATACAGTCTTCATTTCTCTGAACACATCCCAGCCAAAGAATCTAAAGTGCGAAAATTGCTCGGCTTCATTCTCCTTAATTTCTATCACAAAGAATCTAAAATCCTTCTTTATAAAGTTTGTGTAAGACTCATCGTTGAATACTGCTCGTTCTTATTTTCCAACCTACGTCTACCTGATATACTAACGGTGGAAGGAATACAACGAGACTTCGCCCGCAAAATACTTAGGACTACAGTTCCCGATGCCGAATCTTAAGAACTGCACCCATTTGGGATAGAAGGCTTATGTCTAATTTGATTCTCTACTTCAAACTACTCAAAAACCTTACTTATTCAACATGTAAGATAGTTCTTGCCCGAGATTCACGTGAATACGACATTCGAAACAAAGTATCTACGGTCAAATTTGAAAAATACAGATCAAAAACTCAAGAAAACGTCCTCCTCATCAAGTATGCAATAATATGGGACAGTTTTCCCCCCAAATTCACATGGCAGATGAATTACGTACGTTTGTAAAACTGCGTGATCAAACCCTCATTTGCACTGGATACAGAAAACATGTTCACACTACTGAAAATCATTCGCATTTTTACCGCATTGTATGTCCTTTTAATCGCTATCGTCAAACGATTTATCAATACATCAGATGTTCTGCTCAAACTGCACTCAGATTATAATACACATTGAGTTAGTTTCTTGTTATCTCAAATCCTACACGTACCATGCACTTTCTCGTTGACAGATAAAAATCCACGTCACTTATAAGCTCCATTTCGTGAAACATGATCACTGAAATAGCCTCGCGTACTATTTAAAGAGTATCTTACGTCACTTTCTTCGAATGGCCTCAACATTGAAGAAACCTGTACATCACTTAAACTCTGCAATTCGATATGATCTACGCAAGACTACTCATAAGCTGATAAAGATACTTTTGCATGTACGCGACAGTGTGAAGATGTAGCAAGTTCATCTAGATTATAAGGAAAGCTTAAAGCCTCAAATCGCTAACACCATGACCGGTGTAATATTTTACATCGATACCATTTTTATCATCGTTTTTAATCACGTCATCACATCATATTCGTTCAAGTTAAATTAGGCACATTTTGGTGAGTAAACGGCTTTGAATTAAGTGCATTTTTCTGACTAGCTGCCGATTATATTTCTTATTGGTTTCCGATTCCAATACAGCTGGAACCTTGGAATCATTAGGACGAGACAAATTAAGATTAAGTTAAACGTCAATAACTTTATCATACTGTTTTAAACCAACTGAATAGTCCTTTTTATTACGGTTTAAGTGGGATTTACATTCTGTGGATGGTTATTCTCTTTTGAAATGTTCTTTGTGAAGACTCTCAGTCTGTTTACGACCTTTGAGATTGTGTATCTACGCCAAAGCTACAAAATACCTAACAAGAACCCGTGTAAACGTTTTCCTCATTATTTATGCACTAATCTTGAACAGTCCCATCTCTAAATACTCGTGACAGATAGACTACATACGTTTATAAAACTTCTTCATGATGCCTTCACTTTCACCGATCTCCTATCACCTGTGAACATACCTGTATCCTATCCAGATATCATGGCGCTTTGCATTGTTAAATCATATCAGACTCTGAGTTTAGTTTCAACTTCTCTTCCTCGTTGCAGTTGTAATAAATATACCTCCTTGTCTATATGTCCTTTTTGAATTGTTACTTGAAGTACATAGTCAGCTACACTGACCAATTGATGCTGCTCAACTATAGTCGACTGAAAGGGGAGTTCACTACTATC